GAAACTTACATTTTTACCATGTGTCTTTTCAGCTCCTGTAACATCATCTTTCTGGTTGTCCGGTCGCTCATGGTTGCTAATAATTAAAAACAGATCTGAAAACCAAAGAGAGAGACGTCATCTGACACAAATATTTTAGTTCTGAACTGAATTAATTCCAAAGAGGTTGCTGTGTCTAAAAGGAAGAGTCAGACTAACTGACTGAAAACTTAATCAAGAATCTTTATTATGACGAAATAAAGATGTTTTGTTGAGAGATCTTGCAAAGAATTAAATATACTGTTTAGAAAACACAAAAATGAAAAACCCTTATTAAAAAAGAACATATAAAATATGTATCCCTCCCTGATGAATAAATATGACTCTTAGTTTGATATTAGTATTTTACTGTTACAGAGACCTAAACAATCTAATCCCTCACCAAAGCCTGAACTTGTGTTTTAGTCCTAAAAACACATAATTTATCACTTGGTTATAGAAATATAATGAGAGCAATCAGAACATGCAAAAATAATTTATCACAGTGAAAGAAATCAACAAAAAAGTTGTCTGATAACTTACAGAGACACTGAAGGTTTAGCTTGTCTTACCTGTAGCAGACTAAAAGGTGAGTTTGATGACCAGGTGGAACCGTCTTACTTATGAATCACATTACAGCATGTCGGACGCCTGATGTTTTAAAGTGAAAGAGAAACCCTTAGAGCGGTAATTCCCAAAGATTCCCACGTCCAGCTGATTTACTCCAAATAGAGTAACCTGGATCTGTCATGTTGGGGTCGAGTCTCCTAACCCACATGCAGAAAACACTCCAGAGACAGGAAATACAATAGTGAGGTTTATTGACAATAAATTCAGACAAAGATAAATGGATTCCTTGGTTCATCAGGCTGATCTCAGGGGGCAACTAGGGGAGTACAGAGATGATTAGTCTGGATCCAGGAAACTTGCTGTTTGGGGGTAGTTTGGGATTAATACCCTGTTGGGGGGGTGTTTCAGACCGGGGGGGCTTTAGGGTCCAGAGGCTGGTCGGCAGGTTGAGGGCTGAGGTCAGAGGAGGCGGTGGAGGGCAGACAGGTTAGGCTCCAGGCAGCGAGGGTTTTGTCTTGTAGGTTGGTTGATCTCCAGATTATTCAGGATCTGAGTAGCAGAAAACACAAAGACAAGTGGATTCAGAATTAGGAAACAGATCAGGGTTAAAGCAGCTCAAAGTTAGCCGGTACCATTACTGGCAACACTCTGGCGGACAAGTGTCAGCATCCTCCTCCATTTATACGCCTCCAAATGAGAAGAAAGAGAACAGGTGTGCAGAAGTCGACTCATGCCCTCAGGAGGAAGGTCTCAGGCTCCCTCTGGTGGAGAAAAGTTGACAAACCTCTTGATCCCAACAGGATCACACGAACAGGAGCATCTGTGAGTTCTGCAGTTAAACATGGGATGGAAATGAAGTTTAAGTAACAAAAAATAGAAAATCAATCATTCTATCATTAGATTGATCAGGTTTTGCTATCTCTATATTCTATAACTATGGGCTGAGTGAGTTTCAAGCAAACTGCAGACTTTCATCCTGCCAGCAGCTTGTTACTGTAAATCCATTGAACTATTGTTGACAAACTGGTCTCTGCATCATGCATGAGTATAAATTAGAAAATGAAGCAAACCTTCAGAGGTGGGTAGTAACCAGGCAATTATTTAGTTATATTTTACTTGAGTAACTTAAAAAAAAAACAGGACAGTAAGGACTAATTTTACTGCACTGAACTTACCACCTTTACTAATATTAATATGAGGTATGTCTACTCCTGGTAGAGTAAAATAGCCGGGTTCTCTGAATATCTGGCTGTCCTGTTTGAGCCAAGTTTCCAAGCCAGAATAAAATTTTTAAATTATTTCAGGGATTTTTATCTGTGATATGTGTTGAATACAACTTCTTAATTCTTCTGGCAGACAAAGGTACAAAAGAACCAAGTGACATATTTAAAAAACTGTGTTTGATTTCACAGCAGATTGGATCGATTGACTGTATTGATCTCATAGTGGAGAAATTTACTCGTTACATCAGCTCAAACAGTCAAAAAGAGAAGAAGAAGGCTCCAAATGAAGAAAAAAAACATGGGGTCCACATATGACAGTTGAAGTCTTTTTTATATTTATATCACAGCTCACGATGTTTGTTCTCACACTGTGCAGCCCAACGCTCTGATGCGATCCACCTGCTCACATTGTACGTCTAAAAACCAGGTGGGACTCAGCTCCGCAGTGAGATGGCGCCTCGTTACCCCTGCACACTACACGACACGATCAGGCTGAAAGTCTGAAAGTTCTCACACGACTGGAAAGTCATTCCAAACAGGGCAAATTAATCGCACATTAAACGCCCCATTTAAGGTTTCCATACCAACCACAGTACAGAGACTGCCCTGATTAAAGTGTTACAGCCGTATAAATTCAGACTGTTGAAGCCAAGCCAAGTTTATTTATATTGCACAATTCAGTACAAAGACAATTCTGTTGGGATCCTGAGGCTTGCCCACCAGAGGGCGCCGAGGATCCTCTTCTGTTTTTTGTTTTCTGTTAGGGACTGGGTTACTGTTGGGATCTGGGAATGTACCACCTTTCTCCAGCAGAATGCGCCGTGGGTCTCCTGGGCTGGAGCCCTCCAGCACGCCTGGAGCTCGTCTGCTCATCAGGAACCTTCCCTACATAAGCAGCTGCCAGACCTTCCTTCAACGCCGCAGTGTTGACCTTAGTATGGTTAGCAAACCTGAGCCTCTGTTACCTGAAAGAATCTTTGTTGTCTCAAGAGAGAAAACTGATTCTATCTGCCTCTTTCTTTGCTCACAGGAAACCTGTCCCAAGTCTGAAGCTCTGGATGAGCTTAACCTGCCTGCCAGCCCTGGTGAGCCAAACCTGAAGATTCCAGTCTGGATATCTCCTGCTGATCTCAGAGAAGAGCTGGAAACTCTGATCAAGGTCTGCCATTCAAAGTCAGAAGCTAGACGCTGCTGCTGCTTGTGCACTCTGCTGAACCAACAGTCTCTGGACCCAACGGTTCCCTCTCTCACAAGTAAAGCCTGGACTCCTTCAAGGTAGACTCTGAATTACCTAAGGCTCAATTAATCATCTGACTGCCTGGCTAATCAAACTGTCCGTCTCTGCAGACATCAGTGAACCCAACCCGGACCAGTACCTGATCCAGTTCATGTCCCTGTGTGAAAACTAACTTCAATAAACTCTGTTAAACTTTTACTCAGCCTCCGTTGTGTTCTGCATGTGGGTTTAACCTTAAACCAATCATGACAAATTCAGTGTTTTATGTGAATTAAACAATAAAACAGAAGGAAAATAAAAGCAGACTAAAAGCAAATAAATAAAAAAAATATGACAAAAATCAGCTGGTAAGGCAAATAAACGGCTGCACAACAAATTTAAACTAACTGCATCTCAGTTAACATTTTATCTGTCAAAGGCAGCTTTAAACTAACAGGTTTTTAACTTTAACTTCAAAGATCTCAGGCTTTCAGATCTTTTCCAGTCTGCTGGGAGTTTGTTCCAGATCCACGGAGCATAGATGCTGCTTCTCCATCTTTGGTTCTAGTTCTGGGTGGACAGAGAGGGCTGGAACTATAAGACCTGAGTGGTCTGGGAGGTAGATCCACTGACAACAGATCTGTGATGGATTGAGGTGCTGATCTATTTAGTGATTTCTAGACTAACAGAAGGATTTTAAAGTCTATTCTCTGAGCTACAGGGAGCCAGAGGAAGGATTTCAGAACCGGGCTGATGTGATCTACTTTCTATAGGTCTAGTGAGGACGCAGGCAGCACCATCTGGTTCTGATGGACTTTTCAGGTAAAACTATGCAGACACTGTTGCAGTGATTAATTCTACTAAAGATAAATGCATGAATGAGTTTTTCTAGATCCTGCTGGATATTAGTCCTTTAATCCTGGAGATGTTCTTCAGGTGATCAAAGGTTGACTTAGTAACTTCCTTTCTGAGCCTCTGAAGGTTCAGGTCTGAGTCCATCATGATTTCAGCCATAAACTGTGGTTTCTAGCTGCAGCAGCTGAAGCTCTGTGCCCTTTTACATTTGATTGAGGCTTTAAACCATCAGTTAATAAAACAATTATTACAATGATCAATTATAAAACAACAATTAATCGGAGGAAAATAAAAGTATACACCAAAAAAGAGAAACCATCTACATTTTGTATAAAGTCTACATGATATGAGGAAATAAACCAATCAAACCACTAATTTCACCTGTGATCTGCTATCTGGGCCAGATTTTTCCCTAGAGTAACGTAAACCAATTATTTCAACGAAATCAGCTGCAAATCCTCTGATATACCAAATGCACAATGTTGAGTTATTAGCATCTCCTGAATCCCATTGTTGGATCTCTATTATGATTATATTTAATTGGTTATATATACATATGTATATAAAAATGTTTGTATATCTGGAGCGTGCAACAAAAGTAATTTCCCTCTGGGATTATTAAAGTATGTCTGATTTTGATTCTGATCATTAATATTTAACAAATATGACTCTAAATGGACTCCAGAAAAATGAAAATAAAAAATGTGGCTAAATAAGTGAATTTACTTATTAAGTTTAAGAAAGTTTTTGAATAATCATTAATTTCTGTCACAGTTTACATGAATCTGAATGTTTTTCAATAATAAATGTAATAAAATCAATTGAGATAAACTTCAAGCTGGAGTCCAGCTCAACTGAAACTTGTTTCAGCAGAACAAGTAATGTAAATCTCAATAATTAATTTTCTTAAAATAAGTGCATTTTCTCCTGAATTGAGTAGATAAGTGAGACACTTTGGCAATGAAACAAGAAATGGTCCATTTAAAGTAATAAAAAACAATTTCATTGTCTTATTTCAAGTGCATATTATCCAATTATCTTATTTCAAGAGTAAAATACTAATTCCATTGGTAGGTCATCTTATTTACCTACTCAAATTAAGGCTAAATTCACTTAATTTAAGACCTTTTTACTTATTTCTAGATCATTTTTGCAGTGCCCATCACTGAGAGGTTCAGCGAAACGCTGCTTTGAATGCTTTGGACAGCCTCACATGTGCACTGCCTTGGCTTTCTAAGCTGGAATTTCTCGAGAACATGTTTTTTATTGAAGATCTAATGGCTTGTAAGGTAGAGGCCAACATCCTCTCTGTTGAGGCCATTCCTGTATAGTCAATGGTGCAGGCATACTGCTGCTTCAGAGCTTCCTCATCTAAATTCATTACTTTATCTCCTTTTCCCAGACAGACGGCGAGGTGGAGCGTGGCCTGAAACCTGGAAAACATGAGCACCAGTGACAGAGCCAGGGTTACCACTGGAAGAGAGATGCGCTCTTTTGGATCAGTTGATGGAAGGATAAACGGTATGATGATACGGGTCCTTCCAGGTTTCTGCTGTTTTACTTTTAGGACCTCAATTCCTTTCCATTTACCATCTTCAGGTATTTTCAGAGGAGACACAATAATGTTGGGAATATTTAGATTTCCAGCTGCCCTCATTGAGTTCCAATTGTCGGGCACATTCTTGAGGCGATGTTTTTTTCCTGGAGTCCTACAGCCAGGTGAGCAGCAAAACCTTCTGTGGGACAGTTTAATTTTCCCTGTAGCCACACCGTATGCTGCCTCCGCTTCAAGATTACAGTTCCAGGGAGAATACAGGACGACGTCTGAGACGGTGGGCAGAGGCAGCAGACAGCTGGCTGGCATCATGGTATCTGTGATTACTCCATGAGCCACGAAGGTGATGTCAACATCATCACTGTGATTTTTATCCTCTTCCTTATCCATCTCTTCCTTGAGGACCTGAAACATCTCCACCAACTTGGAGAAGATCTCTGACTCTGCGTTAAGTCCGAGCCAACGCCGAACAGCTTTATCCGTACAGTTTTCCATTGCAAAATCTAACAGCCTTTGCATGTCATCAGGGCTTCTTTTTCTGGTTTCAATTTGGCATCTAACTTCAACTAACCTCTGGAAGATCTTTCTGGAAGAGAAAGTATTTTTTGACATAAGATTTTTAAAGCATATAAAAAAAGCTCCTGGACTTCTAGTTGGTTACAGTAAAGCTATTTCATCTCAGATTGTGGTCATCAACCTACTCAACTTCACTTTTTTTTTAGTTTCTGTTTGTGTTCAGACTTACCGAATTTGAAGAAGTTCCTTTTCCATCTGATCAGCAGCTTTCCGCATGTCAGTAGCATTTTTTCTCAGATTCACACTGGCTTCACTATCGCATTTATTAACATCACTACAGTTGATCACCAGCTCAGGAACTGAAAACACCAGTCCAACAACTCCTGCTCCAACCTATGAAGAACAAAATAAAGAAAAAAAGAAATGTATTATTTTCTGTTCTGGTGCATTTGTGAATCATTTGAAATAATTTTGAATTATATGTTCTTTTTATTCAAAGGGCATATGCGAACGTTGCCTTTAGTGTTTTATTAGGAAGGCCACATTAAGCACTAATAAAATAGCTTTTTTATGAATTAATGTCCTACTTTATAAAAAAAAAGTGTCTCACAATATAATATAACAAACAGACAAGCTGATAAAATGTCCAATAAAGGAATGATTTTAGACAAACAAGGTTTTTATCCCAAAGCAAACACTTCCTGATCTGCTATGAATTATGCATTAATCAATAAAATCTTTATTACTCCAAACAAGCAAAGAACAAAAACATTCTTCTTTCTTCTTTGGCAATTATGGCTTTATTTCTTCAGTTTTCCCCTTAGTTACCGCTGCTCAGGGGTCAAAGTAGACTTGAGTTCACAGGCTTTGTTTTGGAAACAATTTCAAAGATAATCTACATAATTGCCTTATAATGCCATGGCAACCAGGACCAAAACTGAATGAATATGCTACTAAAATGTTCAAATATTTAAAGGAAACAGAAATTTTTTTTAATGGCAATACAAGGAAATATTGGCATCATATTTAAATAGATAGATTTGAGAAAAATGAGAATGACATATTCAAGGATCTATGTACCTTTTCATCTGCGTGTTTATCCAAAAATAAACAGAATGCAATTAAATATTTGCTTTTAAATACAATTTAGGGATTTCTATTGGTAGAAATTAAAGTAGGCTAAACAACAGGATAGATTACTGTGAAGATTCATCACTGCAGCCCAGATATCGAACTGTTAGCGTTTGTCAGCTGCTATAAAAAAAGTAAATGTTGGACTTGTTTTATGAAAACTTCAAGGCCTTCTTTACAGCAAGACCTGGAAATGAGATCACAATCTTGTTTCTCTCTGCTCAGAGTATAACTTCCTCTATCAGAGATCACCTGTTTTAAAGGGATGTGTAGAAAGATGGTCATGATAAGCTGATGAAGCCAAGGTGGGATGTTTTGGGATGCAATTGAAAACCATGGTAGCTCACCTGCTTGCATCCGCAAATGACTCAGCATGAGTCTTTGACAAAGTAAGAAGTGTGCTGGGAGGGGCATGCTCCTTGGGTAATGGTGAGGGAAATGCTGAACCTAGATATGCACACCTAAACAAGCTCACATAATTATTGCTGTCAAAATAACATGTTTGTATGGTGTTGACTCCACATCCTTGGACAGACAGGTTATTGTGTATAAGTTCAAATGAGGAGGTAAATTAGTTTAAAAAACACTTTTTTTTGCAGCTTTTACTGTCTTTAAAGGTTAACATTATGGCCGGATTTCAGTATAATTCATACAACTGCCTGTGTATAACAATTATACTGAAATTTGGTAGCAGCATGGAAATAAATTGGCTAATGAAATAAATCTTTGTGTTTTTTATTTATTTAGGAAGATCTAAATCTCTTCCTGATAAAACCAGAAACTTTTCATCTCCATCTACTTCATCTGCTAGTAACTCAGTTACTGTACAATCAAATTAATAAATAAGGCTGTCTAAACGCTGAATATGAATCTACACCATTTTATTGCATGTCAGGACGTGAGTAAGATACTAAAAGTCAATATATTTATTTAGATTTGGTTATTATGTTTAATGTTTATTTTATATGTTTATGTTTTAAAAGTTGATATTTAAGCATATTACCAGGTTTTAGCTGGCTATAGAATACGTTTAATGCATAATAACACCCTAAGATGAGATAACAGTCTTTTGGTTAATTGTCTTGAATGATTAACTATAATCACTATGATTGCATGAGGAGCCAGAATAAAAGTTACTGATGTGATGCCTTGGTTCCTGAGTTACTCACCCGTCCCACTGCTTTGCCTGCAACCTTTGCTCCCATGGATGCAAAAAGCCGTGGAAGTCCGTTTGGCACCAAGGTTTTACTAGACTCTACTGCAATCTGTAAAAGTTTGCAAACCAGGGAAAACCCAAGTAGAGAGGAATCTACAGTCTTATCGCCAAACAAGGTTTTGGGCAAACCAGATAACATGCTGTTCAGGCTGAATCCGGGGTTTAATATCAACCCTTCTCGTTTGGCCATGGCCCTCAGGATCTTTTCTACAACATAATCTTCTTGAGAAAGTTTTTCAGAGGACAGAGCCTGAACTTCCTGTTCCCTCCTCTCTCCTTCCTCTTTGAGTTGCTCCAAGAGTTTTCCAATTCCTTTTTCAAGATTCTCTATCTTTTCTCCAATCTGTTTAGCTTCTTTCATGCTGATGCTCGATAGACTAACATCCACAACATCTGAGGTCACATTAGTGGCCAGACCGAGCCCAGAGGCCACGGCTCCTGCAGTGAAGAGAAATGGGATCGCAGCTCCTCCAGTTGCCAGGGCTGTTACACCTGCAACTGTCATGGCTGCTGCTCCCCCTACAGACACTGAGCTGCCAACTACTTTGCTGATATTACAGCCTTTCTTGGTTCCCTCCATGTCAGAGGCCAGTTTGTCAAATTTTTCTGCACCTTCTTTCTGCAGCTTCACCCAAAGGAAGATATTATCTACGAGCTTGTCTGCATCATCCATGGTGAGATTCCAGTGATTGAGAGCACTGCAACAAGCATAGATTTATGTTAAGTCACAAGTTATATTAAATCACCTTTTTCTAGAAATCAGATTAGAAGTAATGAATCTCCTAAAGAGAATCTGCTGCTGAAGTTCCTGGAAAGTCTGAAACAATTTAGTTTGGAATAAATCTGGAACATTATTTAACAATCAGAACAAAAATTTAAAACATGGAAAACTGACAGATAAATAGTAAATTAGATTATTATGATTAATGTCTCACCTGTTGAAATGAGTCTTGAAAGCACTCCTCTCAGAATGGATACATGCAGTATACTGCTTTGGTTTCTGTTCTGGCTGCCTGATTTAAAGACGCAACATTAAATGTCTTATCTTGGTGATCATGCCCTCTGAAACAGTAATGATTAACTTTTCAGCTGACTTCAATCAACCAGCTGATGTTTAAAGTCGGACCAAAACACAACTAGAATTTAAACATCTACATAAAAAAAAAAATCTAAAATCTGAAAATAATTCCTTATTGTTGTAATGACATAAAGATTTTTCTCTTTTTTTACTTAGCTCTACCAGCCATGGTAAAAAATAAAAAAATAACAAAACAAAGAAAAACATCCACAAACAAATAAAGCAGCAATATAAAACTCTGGGTCTTATCAGCTGTTATAAAGTGATCTAGATTTGTGCGAAGCAACACAGTTATCAGGCTGGTGACGCAGAACTTTTATACTTTGAAAGTATAAAAACAAAACTCAGTTCAGTTTATAAATAACACAATGGTTTGGGAGGTTTTTCTGATCCTTCCATTGCATTGATCCTTCATGGTAAATAGCCTGTACTTTACAGCACTTTTTCAAGGTGGGAGACTTAAACAAAGAGCTTTACATCACATCCAGTCATTCACACACAAACTGATGATGGTGAGCTTCTATCACTGACAGAAGCGAGGCTGCCGTACACTGGCGCCACTGAGCCCTCTGACCACCATCAGTAGGTGATGCAGGTGAAGTGTCTTGCCTAAGGACACTGTAACGTTCCTGGCACTGGAGCTGCTAATTGCAATCAGCGCACCTGTTCTACTCCACCCTACCTGCTTAAAGGCTCCGTCCCTCCAGCCTCCAGTGCCAGAACGTCTCTAGCCAAACGGGGAGAACTTCCAGCCTTTTATGATTGTCCGTCTGCCTGTCTGAACCTCGACCTGTTTTGCTCCTGTTTTTTTAGCCTGCCTGACCCCTTTCTGGATTTTTGTCTGCCCGCCTGAGTCCTGCTCGTCAGCCTCAGTGATCTGGACTGTCTACCCGTGTTTCTGACCCAGCGGAGATTGCCTGCCCCTTAAACTGCCTTAGCTTTTTTGGATTGTGGAACTGGGTCTGGACTTGGAACCTCCCCTTGATTCTCCCTTGGATACCTCAGCTGGATTAACGGACCTCCCCCTCGTCAAGACCCGGACCGAACCTGGACTAAGAACCCCGGATTACCCCAGCACGGACTCTGTCCTTTCCTGATACCAGACTGTGCCCAACCGAGTCTTCCCGTGGCCAGGTTAGTGACCAAGCTCTTAACTCACATTTCTGTCTGTCTCCACTGGTCACTAACCGCCACTCTGTCTGTAGGAGCTACCAGTCGCTGAACGTGAGCTGCACTTCACTTCTCTTTAATAAAGATTGTTTAAGTTTCACTGACCTGTTTACGGGTTGTCTTTGGGTCCGTCAACCCTTTAATTACGGGAAAACTCCTACATCCAACGCCACTGTTGCCCCATTTGCCCCATTTAGATCCTTCAGCATGTTTATAATTCTCATGAGAAGAAACATGAGCTGTTAATGAGGAGGATGAGGTGAGTGGAGGCTGCACCTGCTGGCAGTGTGATTGTCCAGCTTTGCCAGCCAAATACTCTGGAGATTTACCTGTTCTGTTAAAGGAGGAGTGAATCAAGGTTATGACATTCAAAGCTACATCACAGTGTGCTCCTGCTGCTGCTTTTTCTGTTTGCGTGATCACAGATAAGGTTCGGTGCCCACACGCCTCACTCAACTTTTTGTGATCCTGCCAACAACACCAGCTGTAGCAAAAGGCATTTCCATATCCAAGATTATCGAAGATTCATAAATGCCTTGGACTTTCTCCCAGAAAATCACAATTTAAGAAACACAGGTAAATTATTAAAAAAACACAAGAGAGTTGGTTTAAACATTAAATAGAAAAAAGTCCAACAAAAAAAAAGATAACAAGAAAGTCACAACTACTAAGGCTTACCAGTAGGTGGCAACAGGTCCATGCTGGTTGGAGTGGATCCAACAGAGCATACAATAACACAGCAAAGACACTGAAAAAGGAGAGGATTGAAAATAAGGAATAAAATTAGTCTTCACGCAGATGATGTATTACTTTATCTCCAGCACTCAAACACTTGCCTCTCTCAAGTAATTAGATTACTAGAATCCTTCTCAAAAGTCTCAGATTGCTCTATAAATCGGTCTAAATCTGTAGTACTACCAATTAATTGCTCTCTACAGAATCCCACAGGTCTACAATTGCAATCAGGAAATATCAAATATTTGGGAATTACTGTGTCATCTAAACAAGCTGAGTTACCAAAACTCAACCAAATTCCCTCTTTTAAAAAAGATAGAAGAGGACCTAGAAAGATGGAAATCGCTTCTGATCTCCCTTATGGGTCGGGTAGCCTCAATTAAAATGATGGTCTTACCCAGAATTAACAACTTATATTCAATGATCCCTAATAAACCATCAACCGAATGGTTTTAATCTCTAGATTCTTCCATCTCTACATTTTTTTGGAAGGACAAACCCCCTCGTATCAGCTTAAAGACACTAGAGAAAACTAAAGACAGAGGGGGACTAGATTTACCTAACTTCCAAAACTACTACTTAGTAAAAAGATTACAATACATCTCTAAATGGACAAAATATAATCCCTTAGATGAGCCCTGGAGAACAGGAAATATGCAGTAAGATCATTGTTTCAGATTTGCCGTTTATTAGCTCTAATATCAAGCGGCACTTGTGTTTTAAAAATATTAACATCAGCACTTCCCTGACAGCATGGTGGGAATTTCTAAAAATAAAGAAGTCATCACTTTCCGTAAAAATAAAAAAAAATATCCACTGGACTTGGTTTTCAAGATTTGAAGACGTTCGCCACCTCTCCAGGAAGCTTTCTCAATTCAAATGTCTGGATCCGCAGTGAGTTTGAGTCTTATATGGACAAAGCCTTATATTGCTTGGAAACATGCAATGGTAACCGATGAATGGGTCGTTTAGTTCCATTGTTAGCCTCTAATATCTGAACCTGTCTATGATTCTAGGGGTCGGTCGTTAAAGGGGGGATTGCCATTAAGGGGGGGGGATTGTCTCCTGTAATACCTGAAACCTGTCTATGATTGTTAAGGGTTGGTCGTTAAGGAGGTATTGTTCACCGGCTGGGGCGGGTAGGTCCCTCGTTCCTCTGTGATGGGGTGGGGGGGGGGTTTGGTGATATCTGGAAGGGATCATGTCTATGATTGAATTGTATGTTTTTGGGAGCTGGAATCTGAGTCCACCACCTCTGTTTAAAGTTGTTTTTTCTCTCTTAACATAGATGGCTTCCTTCACGCCCCTCTCAAACCACCTATTTTCTTTATCCAGAATATGGACATTCTGGTCCTCAAAAGAATGTCCTTTGTCCACAAGGTGTAGGTGTACTGCGGAGTCTTGTCCAGAGGCGGCCGCTCTTCTGTGTTGGGCCATGCGTCTGTGGAGAGGTTGTTTTGTTTCGCCAATATAAAGATCAGAGCATTCCTCGCTGCACTGAACAGCATATACCACTCTGCTCATGTTCGGTCTGGGGGTTTTATCTTTAGGATGAACTAGCCTCTGTTTAAGGGTTTGGTTTGGCTTGAACTGTACTGGGATCTTGTGTTTGGAGAAAATCCTCTTGAGCTTTTCAGACACTCCAGCAACATAAGGAATTGTGATGTTTTTGCGTTTAATTTTCCCATCGCTTTCTTCTGTTGCGTGTCTTTTGGATTTCCTTGCTGATTTGATAAACGCCCAGTTTGGATATCCACAGTTTCGGAGAGCATCTTTGATGTGTTCCTGTTCTTTTTGCTTCCCATCTGTTTTAGTAGGGACATGTTCTGCCCGGTGTTGTAAGGTTCTGATGACTGAGAGTTTGTGTTCCAGTGGGTGGTGTGAGTCAAAAAGAAGATACTGGTCTGTGTGAGTAGGTTTCCTATACACTTCAATGTTTAGGCTTCCATCTCCTTCCATGCTCACCAGGCAGTCCAGAAAGGGTAGTTTGTTGTCCTCGGCATCCTCTCTGGTGAATTTGATGTTACGGTCAACAGAGTTGATGTGTTTGGTGAAAGCTTCCACATCCTCTAGTTGGATTTTGACAAAAGTGTCATCCACGTATCTAAACCAGTGGCTTGGTGGTGTTCCATTGAAAGTGTCTAAAGCTCTCTTTTCCATTTCTTCCATGTAAAGATTGGCTACAATTGGTGATACTGGAGATCCCATTGCGCAGCCATGCTTCTGTCTGTAAAAATTACCTCTGAATTTGAAATAGGTTGTGGAAAGACAAAGGCCCAGTAGTGTGCAGATCTGGTCCGGAGTGAAATTAGTCCTGTTAAGTCATCACTTATCCCGTGCAGTCGTACACCCATCTGGAATAACCCTGACATTCTACAAAACAATAATGTGATAAACTTTCAGCACTGGAAGAATAAAGGTATTAACTATCTGGATCATTTGTTTGAAAGTAAGGAGTTTATCACATTTGCTAGATTAAATTTGCAATATGGTATTAACAAAAATAAATTCTTAGAATATGAGCAAATTAAAGCTATAATTAGAAATTTAAGCTTATTGATGGAGGTTTAATAATTCCAACTAATATATCAGAGTTTCTAGAGTTAAACCCCCCAAATACTAGTGTCTAAATTATACAGGACACTGACTAAACTGGATGATACAATATCTCTTCCTATTACTAAATGGAAGGAGGAATTATCAGCCAGCAAAACAACAAAACAACAAAACATCTGGGCTCAGATATGTCTAAGAACTTTTAACATGACTAGAAACCCCAATTTACAATTAATACAATCCAAAATCTTCCACAGAATGCACTATACAGGTCAAAGATTATCCAAGATGGGGTTTGCGCAATCTAACACTGTCCACAGTGCACAGGCAATCATCTTGATAATTATATTCATGCGTTATGGTTATGCACGCCGGTTCAGAGATTTTGGGTACAGGCATGTAAGGACTTATCACTTTGCCTTGGTTGTAAAATCCCACTTTCTCCTCCAGTTTGCTTGCTGGGTGACTTTGAGGGAAGCTCTAAGGGAAAAAAATCAGTTTGCATGGCCTTCACTGCGTTATGTATCGCAAAGAAAACTATCCTCATGAATTGGAAAAGTAAGGATAAACTCAGCATCAATCAGTACAGAGATCTGTTGTTGGATCATATTAAGCTTGAGACAGCATCTGCATCCCCATCAGACCGATCTCTCTGGGCTCCCTTGATCGGCTCCATCACTTAGTGTAGTGGGGGGCAGTGGGGCGCGTCCTACGGGGCGCAGGGACTGGTTGGGGGTCCTTGGGTCCTGGAGGGCTCGGGGGGGCGCTTGGAGTGGGGTGCCTGGCGGGTCTGACCCCGGGGTCTGTTGCCCCCATCGGGGCGGGGCTTGGGACGCCTCAGTGTGTCCTACGGCGACCGCTTGCGGTGCTCTCAGGGCTACCGGCCTGGTAGCTGTGCTCCTGCTGGGGGGGTCCGGGGTGGGTCCGGGGGTCTGGGGTCCCTGGGGCGCATTGCCCTCCGGCGGGTGCCCTGGTGGGGCATAGGGGGTTTGGGTTCTGTGGGGAACCCGGGGCCTCTGGTGTGCTGGGGGGCCTCGGGGCCTGTTGGGCTGGGGGGGCATGGACATTAACACCTTAATGGGGCTGTGGCTGGTTGGCTTGTGGCCCCCGGGCTATGGTGGTGCGACTGGTGGGGCCCCCCTCTCCGGTGGGGCTCTAAGGGAACGGGGAAGTCCTATTGGAGTCAGCGGGGGAGGTGGCTCCCTGGGAGTGCAGTAAGCACCCCAGTCCTTTGCTCCCCATTCCCGGAATCCTCCCTCTGCCTGCTCCATCACACTGCCACACACGTAGGCTTTTGGGTAGGGGGTCGTTACTGGAGGGCCCCACCTTCTGATGACGTCCCCCACCTCAATTTTATTCTGCATTTTTAGACACTTCACAACATTTGAACAACATACATCTAGGGGCATTGTCTTGGGGGGTGGGGGTCAAGGGCACCCAGGGGGGCCTATTTCATTAGCCTCACCATGGTCAGCTCCCCCCATCTAGAGACTTACATGGGAGTGGATTTTCACTCCTGTCCCGTCCCACTCCAACAGAAAAAATTGTCCCATCCCAATCCCGGGCCAGAGTAGAAATCTAAATCCTGTCCAGTCCCACTCCTGGTGAAATTACTCCCACTCCCATCCCGCTCCCATTCAGAATGACTCCCGCTCCTGCACCACTCCCATTCTTGTTGTTTTTGAGCGCGGGTGAAAAACTCAGAGTGGAAGCACTGTTGGTTTTTGGGTCGTGTAGTTTTTTGACTCACATTATAGTGTAGGCTTCAAGGAAAAAAACTACAAAATGGTGGCGCCAGTACTGGATTTTTTTTGTTTTTATATTATTTTATTTTTTGGCATCGATCCTAGTTTTTTTTTAGTTACTATGTTTAATCCTGTACCGTCCCAATCAGGTGATCGTTACTAATACTGACTCCCATCCACGGGAATCCCATGGGAATCCCGTGACGCGTGGGATTCCCGAAAAAATGTCAGTCTCTACCCCCATCCCCTCTCGCATTTAGACACTGAAGGTTCTGGGTTGTCGAATGGGGGTGTGCGCTGGCCTATCTCACAGAGTGGGGTCTGAACTGCTCCCTCTCCCAAGCACATCTCAAGTCTCCGCGAAGTGCGGAGCCCATTCCCCCCATCCTCTTCTCCCTCTGCTGGCTGGCACCTGGGCCCGCCGGTGCACTGGTGGAGCTCGGGGTTTGGGGGTGGATGCCCGGGTGGCTACTGGCTCATGCCCAGGTGGCTACCCCAGCCCCCCCTGGCTGGGGCTCATGCTGGGGGGAGGGGAGCCCCTAGGGACTCGGATCCCTGGAGCCCAGGGCCGGATTAACTTCGGGGTGACTGGCTGCTGGCCGAGCCCACATACTGGTCCCCGCGGCTCCCGGGCACTCCTTATTGCGGTGGCTGGGGGACTTCCTTGCGGCTGTCTCTCCTCCCTTTGTGGGGATCGGATTTCCTGGGCTGGCCCCTCCTTGGCCATGAATGTTCTCTACATGGCTCTCCAATCTCTGAGCTTCAATCTGCACACACTCTGTATACACTCTGTGCATACAAAACAACAATAAAGTTAGTCTAAGTCTAAATTTATATTTCGAAATCAGGTCGTCTGCGTGTGTCACGGTGAATGCATAGACGTCCCCGCCCCTTCCGCAGATACTCTGCTGCACCTCTCCAAAATTGTAGGTGACCACAGACAGGAGGCCTCTGATTGGTCAAATCTACATCCTCTCTACACTATGCGTATTTCCTGTTTGGTACCTTACCGACTTGTTTTGTTTGTCTGACCGCCATTGTGGAAAATGACTAGTGGAGATGAGCCAGCTAGAAGAGCGAGGAGTGCGAGAACGCTGGGAGCCTATTTCCACCTGGATCTCCGCTCTTTTTGGCCCTCATGTCCCTCCGCTGACGCACAAACTTGCCCCCACTTCCTCAACCGTATCTAGCCCCACAGCTAGTTCCTGATTGGCACTCTGGCGTTGTGGCATGGAATAACATAGCACAGACCACGCTTTAATATTGAGCATAAATCAAAAATATCTGCATCAAGCTCACTGCGACACACTGAGGGAGGATAACCAGGCCTTTAGACTAAATTCTCTATAGTAGAAGAGGACTGAACATCATACTGTGAGGGCTGTTGATGTGTTGTTCTCTTTTTTCTTTGCAAAGTAAAATAAAGTGCCGACTGAGTGAAATCAACCAACCTCCTTTTATGTAGCTAAAGTGAAGAGTTGATTACTTTTTTTCACATGCCGGTGGCAAAGCCTAAAAGGTGGATGAGATGTGGTCTCTGGATGTTGTTGGACTCTCAAAAAGAGGGGGCACAGCTTGTGCTCCAACCACAGGGGGTTCAGTGTCATATGATTTATGCCAATGGGGGTGTAGTCTGGTGAAGGAGGGTGGGGTGACAGATGGTGTCAAAGGCTGCACTCAGGTTGAGAATAATGAGGACGGTGAAGAGCCTAGAATTAGATATCAGAGATCATCTGTTGATTTGCTGAGTGCCGTTTCAGGGCAACCAAGTCCAAAGGACCTGGATAGAAACAGTTCATGCAAGTAGTTATAGGATAGAGGATATAGAGAGAGGAGTCAGGAAGAAAGTGTTTATTCAAAGATTTTGGAGATGAACTCTGATTGGGTGATAGTAGAATGAGACACTGAGGTGAGGGATTGCTCCATGGTGCTGGTTGATGTTTGTTTTTGTTTTTTTTTGCGTAACCTCTGTTATTAAATTGGAGGATAACAAACCTGGGTACCTGAATCATTTATTAAACTCTGATCTACCCACAGGTAGGATTTCACACAGAAAAGTCAGTCGTTATTATCAACAGGATGTCAGCATTTTTTTCAATAAAGTTTCAAACTTTAAAAACTGAATGAAAAACAACTTAGAAACAGATAAACAGCTTTGAATAATCCTTAAAACGAGGCAGATGCAGATTAGGGCTGCTGCTGTAAACTGGATCTGATGAGAAACTGAACCAGCAGCATCATTTATTAAAAATATTAGAAATAAAAGTTTCAGCAGAAACCCATCATCAAAGTTGAGTCATCAATAAACACAGAGATGAATAAATAAATAAACTTCTCTATCACTTCCACAGCATCAGCTTTCAGATGTTTCTAATCTTATAAATAAATATCTTGAATGCGATTCCATGACAAACTTCATGATACTGAACATTATCTTAGAGCTCCCTTCCTTTCTTCTACGTCCTCAGATCCTCTGTTGGGATTTAGCTGCTCTGTGACTCTGAAAGTTCTGCAGGTTGCATCTACATAAAGCTCATTTTATCTCCAGAGCTGAAACATCCCCATCATGACATCAGACTGAGATGACGGTTCGCCTGGTGTCTCTTTATTACATCTTCATCCGTTTCCACAGCTGTGATGGTCTTTATGTTTTAGTCAGCTCCCCTCTCACTGAAACACAAAGGTAGGAGGTCAGGTATGGATCCTAAATCAGATGTTCAACAAAGCACGCCATGTTCTCCATCCTCACTTACAATAAACCCTGAAGAATAAAGAACACTCAGAGAAACTGATCTGCAGCCTGAGCTGAGCCATAACCAGCACTAAAGAAAATCTGGATTAATGTCATAACCATGTATGTCTACTTCACATCAAATCCACAGAAAATAAACATTGTTATGTTGCACCTTGCTGCAGCCCTCAGGTTTTGGTAGTTGAGGTTCTAATCTCACCATGCAGCTGTGTCCTGGAGCGAAGGTCACTCCCTTCAGAACTCTGTCCTGAGATCCACTGCTGCTGCCACTGACCGAGCCCTTCCTCATGATGCCTGAACCACAAGAAGACCAGTTTTACAAAGTCAGAAACTGTTAATCTGTATGAGGGGACAAGTGTGCATTTCTACCTGAAGGGGGCAGTGTGTCCAGTTTCTGCAGGCTGTTTCTACGTGGGAGGCCGTACATTCCGGAGTTGGACAAGCGGCGATGGCGATGCTTCAACATGGCAGCCGGAGGGACAATGCCGGGAGGTGGGACTTTACCCTTTAGGCGATAGAGCTCCTCAATCTCTCGCTTCTGACTCACCTGCAGGCTCTGCACCTGACCCAGGTGTCTGTCAAGAGGAAGGAGACAGGGGTTACAGAGGATAGACTCATCGGCACAAACATTGCTGCAGAGTTAAGTGAAACAAGCTGGACAAATCCCTACACAGCAGCATGAATGACAGTAACATTGGATTAGCTAGAATCATCATGTTGCTTCCTGAAGTAGCATAAATATTAGCACAACTTTGGAAGAAATTAATCTGAACCCCTCACTGATCTCTACTGAAGATAGAGTTCAGCCTGTTTTCCAGTGTTTAGTCCTGTTTCTCTCCTATAGGTAACTATGGGCTCAGCTTTTACTGTGACTAACTGGACATTCTCTCTTTCATCCCTTTGACCTGAAAACTGTTTCAGAGTTCATTCAATTAACAGTTTCTTTCTCAGACAGCGCCACCTGTGGATCTAGCTTACTGTTAGCTTTTCTAACATAGAGGGTATTCGTAAATTCTTCTGTCGGCCTCAGCAGATGGCTGCTCACACTGAGCCTTTTTCTGGTTCTGCTGGAGTGTTTTTCTTGTTCAAAGGGAGTTGTTTTCCTCTCCATTGTCACTGTATGCATGCTCGGTGTGCCATCAACAAAAGCTCATCCAAGAGGTGTCATGGTTGAGTGGAGGATTTTTAGGACCCAAATGCAGAGATCAGGATGCAGAGGTTAGTATTAAAAGCCACTGAGGCAAAAATCCAACATTACAAAAAATACAAGGAACCAAAAAACCAGAAAACTTCAAGGGAAAGCTTACGTGGGGAGCCAGAGATTAAGAAATGGCAAAAACAACAAGGAACCAGCACTGAGTGACCGCAGAGGCGGTGTATACAAGGAGAGCCGAACAAAGGATGGACTAATGAGCTGAATCAGAAGCAGTTGTGAGTAAAACTAACTAGAAAGAAGCCAAGAGGAAAGGAAACCATCACAAGGGGGCGACAAAGAATAACTAAAGACTGATTGAATATAATGGAAAAATAAACTAAAGAACAAAACAGAATTACTAATAACTAAAAACTCACAGTCCCAAAAAGGAAAAACCATAACAGGAGGAGCTTGTTCTACAGGTCAGCGACTCGATGCAATCAGCTGATTTCCTTTTAATTTACAGTATGATCTGATTGAACCGTCCCTTTAAATACCTTTAGATGACATGGGTTGTGAATTGGTGCTATCGAATAAAATAAACAGAATTTGAACTGATGCCTCCATTCACCTTTGACGAAGTTCTATTAGCTCCTCCCACATCTCTTCGCCCTCTGATTCATCAGAGCTGTAGGTGGCCGACCGGCTCCGCGATTGGTTAAAGCTGCTTCCTGGCCCCTCCCACAGGCTCACACTCAGCCTGCGACTGCCTGACTTCTTCCCCTCCTGACCAGACAGGCTGTCATGGACACCAGCTGAAGAGAAGGTAACTGTGGGGTTGCTGTTCTCTGATTGGCTGCCCTCTGTATTGCTTCCTGTGTTGCTCTCTGGTTGATTCTTACTGGATGGAAGTTGGGGGGATGTTGTGGTAGCAGCCTTGTCTCGGGGAGATGCCTCCTGATGATGGAGGGGAGGACCTCTCTGAGAAGGTGACACTTGGAAGCGACCAACTGTGAACAGTGGTGTTTTCACTGTGAAAGAAGAGAAGAACCCTTTGACAACCTAATTAAAGTTTGTTGTCTACAGGTTTAGCCTAAGGTTTGAGTGTGAAATAATGATAACCACACAGAACAATGAACCCAAACGCAGCAGCAAATCTACCAAAGAACCGCTGAAGACAAAAGGATCAATGGGTTGCAGTGGTAAAAGTCTGGAGCCTGTTTTGGAACCTTCAGAAAACTTTGTACACAATTCATGAAATGCAGCAATGCTAAGACAGAAGAGTGAACCATATTTAACATTTTTTGGACTGAGTCAGAGAGAAAACATTTGAAAAATCGAACATTAACTGATGATATTCTACAACCAGCTGGACCATTGGGTGGAACGTTGGACATGAGTAATGCTAGGATGGAGCAGGACAGAGGAAAGGAAAAACCTTTGGCAGGAAATGTATATTACAGGTAAGAAAGAAGATTTTTGTCATGAAAGTAAAATGCATTCCTCATATTTGTTCTGTTAATATGAAAACTTTGGAAATTTTCTTTGTTTTAAAAATCAAGCATGTAAATCTTACCTTTAAGGGTAGGGGACATTCTTCCTGATGGAGAAACTGGAGGGGACACCTGAGCGTGAGAAAAAAAATTAAGTTTAACAGTAAAGTACATGAGTGAAGGAGTCCAACACAAAACTCGTCAGGACTCATGAGTCCAAATGAGCTCAAAGGACTGAGTCTCTGTGAACTGAGGAATCAGAAAGGAAGGTGATCCCTGTACATCAGGTAGCTTGTTCCACCACCATCGAACTACCAGTGACGGTATTGGACAGAGCCATTCTGAAGGAGCTTTCAACTTTACGATTAGAAACAACACCTGATACACACTCAGAAGTCCTTTGCAGTCAACATTAGAATAGAAATTATGGAATTCAACTTTATTGCCATTCCACTGTCACAAGTACAGAGCAATGAAATTAGTTCTCTGCATTTAACCCATCCCCTTGGGGTGGGCTGCCATTGTGCGGCACCCGGGGAGCAGTGTAGGGTTAAAGGTCTTGCTCAGGGACCCTTAACCCCATGCTGCTCCCCGGTTGGCAGTGGCAGTCTGCGGGAGTGGGGGATCGAACTCACAACCTCAGGATTCTATGCCCCAACTACTAGGCCACCACTCCCCCCAAGTGTGATTGGATTCAAGGAACCTAAGGCTACTAGAGGAGGTCAAAGACTTGATGATCTAGCATGATCATAATCAGCATGCATGGGATAGGAGGGAAAGAAGCAGAACTAAAATAACTTGAGGAATTAAGAGGTACAGTAACTTTGAACTTACCCCGAAGGATAAACAAAGTGAGATGCTTTTGGATTTAACTCATCATGGACAAAGACCTGACCAGTAGACTGAGGACTGGCCATCTCTGGATGCTGCCCTGTCATTGGCTGATTTGCTATTTGCAGCTGTAAACTATAAAAACAACCCAAGGAGGGTGTCACGGGTTGTAGACGATGGACCCATGGTCTACTAAGGACGATTTAAACAACTGAATTTATGTGACCTTTTAACTAATTAGGTAACCGCAAGACAGCTGATCCCTGACTGTTGAATTGTTATAGCACAGTCATCAACTAGAGAACATATGATTTCATATCACAAGCTTGTTTCCTCAGACGAAATCTTCATATATCCATCAGGGAAGGATGTGACTTACATGCACTGATCAAACAGAATATCTGCTGTTGAAGGACCTCACCATTTTGCGAGGAGTTGATGTATGAGGAGAGGAAGTGGAAGAAGTTGATGAGTCAGAAAACTCTTCTCTGGGATCAGAAGTAGTGGTCAGACTGGGAGAAGATGGTATCCCTGAACCTGTGAACCAGTATGATAACTGTTCAATGTCCAGGTTCAGTCAGGTGTGACTGGAGTCAGTGGTGGCACCAGGTACTCACCATGAGGAGGCGCAGTTAAGTCAACCTTACCAACAGAATTCCTGAGCTGTAAAAAATGGATGAAAGAAGGTCTTTGTACTTCCATAATGCAGAACCTAGTAGTGTGAAAAACTGCTTCACTCTGTCTCACCTGAGCGTTTTTTTGGGTGGTGCTGGGTGATGTTTCCTGCTGGGTTCCCCTAGATGAGCCTGCCTGAAGTGTTGCTGGAGAGTAGGACGGTTGTATGGGAAAGGAATTGGAAAAGGAGGCGTTGCTTTGATGATGAAGACTAGAGCCCAAAGATGGAGATGCAGAAGAATTGGGGGCAGTCTGTGGGTAAGGAAATGGGGGAGATATAGGTGGACTCTGGGGGTATAAGGCCTGGTTGGGGACCCCAGATTGGGGCATGAGGGACTGAGCTACACTCATTGCCACAGAGAGGACATTGGCCAGAGAAAAAATAGGCTGGTCTTGAGAGGGCCACTGGTGAGGAGGAGGCGTTGGTGGAGAGGAGGTGGGGGGGAAGAGGGCAGGGTTACTCTGGACCCGGGGGAGTCGGGGGATGGGGGAAAAAGTAGGGAAGGAAGCAGTGTAAGTTGAATAGGGGTGAGCTGGGAGGTGGTATTGAGCAGCAGGTGTGAGATGAGATCGGGGAGTAGAGTTGGAGTCTCGGGGATAGTTTTGGGGGTACTGTGGGGGCTGATAAAAGGATGCTGGAGGAAGGAACATACAATAAGTTTAGTTTAATAAAATCTGCTGTTCGATACCCATGGGGGAGGAAAGTAAAATATATTTTTTCTTTAACTGTTTTGTTTTCCTATATACAAATACTTATTTATTGTCTGCACTCAAAAATATCCCCCCACACACACACACACATTTTATCTAATTTTTCTAATCCCCCCCATCGTCCCTCCAAGGGGTGGCGCCGGGGAAACCGAGTGTCGTCTATCAACCCCTGCCAGCAGATAGAGGCGGCAGACTGTGGGCTGACTGTTCGCTGCAGCGGACTGCGATTGGCTCAGGTCTGTCTGCTGGTCCCAGTTCAACCAGTTGATTCCCATGTAGATGGTTGAGTCTTTAAGGGGTCATAGAATGCAAAACCAAGTTACCATTGTCATAGATGAATAACGATAGTTCAGTGGGTGAAATAGACGTACAAAGAAGATCAAACCTCATCAACAACTCCTTTCTCTGCAAATCTCACAATTCTAAACTTCCACCATAAAACGGGCGAATCCAAACAAAGCACAGAGTTGACGTAAACTCAGGGATGTTGCCTCATTTGGTTTTTGCCTGTACTTTTGTCACGCCCCGAAATTGACTTCCAACCAGCCCACTGGTTCACTGGCGCAAGGGGGGTGGTTATAAAGTGTCGACTGCTGGGGCGCGGATTGGACTGGACCTCAGCAGAGATCCCTGAGCCGCCCGTCCTCAGCCGAAGGAGGGGGGCTCGGGTCCGGTAAGGCAGGGAGGGGGAGCACGGGGCCGCTGGTGTCCAGGCTACCATCACCGGGTTTGGTCCGGTCACCCCGTCCCCTGCTGGCTCCATGCCCCCATCCGCTGGGGTTTCTGGACCAGCCCCGCAGCTGACGGCTCGGTTCGAATACCCAAAGTTCTTTGACTACGTGCTGCACTGTAGTCGACCGAAATCCCGGACGATTTTGAAATTCAATTCAATTCAGTTTATTTATATAGCGCCAACTTCACAACACATGTCATCTCAAGGCACTTTACAGCTCAACCAGATCATACAGTCAAATTGATACAAAGTTTTCTATCTAAGGAAAACCAGCTGATTGCATCGACTCATTGACTCTTCAGCAATCCCTCACACTAAGCATGCTTGTAGCGACAGTGGAGAGGAAAAACTCCCTTTTAACAGGAAGAAACCTCCAGCAGAACCAGGCTCAATGTGAGCGGCCATCTGCTGAGGCCGGGGTTCAAGGAAGGCCGACTGGGGTTCAAGAAAATTCCCCCCCGGACATTTTTTTAGGTATAAAAAATAGAACATATCTGGGAAAAAGAGGACGTCTGGTCCCCCTACCATATCAACAGTTTTATGTTTCAGTGAGTGAGTGTTTGTTGCTATGACGCGTCTTTCCTCAGCAGCTTCGCTCGTTTCGTTTCATTCTAGGGCTTTTAACCAGGCTGCATTAGGGCTCATATAACAGCTAATATGCCATTTTCAGCCCAACCAATGTTACACACCCTATTGAGAGACCTGAAGGACCAGATACCCTATAGAATCATTCTATCACCCCTTTAAATTAACCATCTCGTACCTGATGGGGTCTGGAAAGACTGTGACCTCAGTGGCCTGACGGGGGGTGTGGCCTCAGTGTCGATGTGGAAATCCACAGCTTTGAGAGGGGAGGGGTCACTATTTTCAATATCTAACAAAGGAAAACAAGAATCAACTGACTTGGACAGATAGATGGTGGAAAAATGAAACACAGAGTCAGAAGCAACAGCTTTACATCATATCAAAGTTTTAAACTATCGGACGGATCTTATGGTTGAACAAACCCACCATGATCAGAGTGGTGTTCCTTACCAGGTAAAGAGGACGTGGACATGGCTCTGGAAAGATCATTTGCTTCTTTTAACTGTGAAGATTTAGAAACAGTTTTAAAGTTAAAGTTAACAGACAAACAAAATAATATATGTAATTATGGAACTCATCATTTTACAGTCTTCTTAAAGACAGGCCCCTTGTTTTACGTTATTTCATCATGTTCTACCCATATGAGTTTGACCTATATGAGTTTTGTGTCATTTGGAGCTGATCTGAAGATTTTCCATTAGGTCATATCCAAGTAACATCTTCCTATGGGCAACGACTTGAAGGCACAGAATATCTTCAGAACAGCTCCAAATAACACAAAACTCATATGGGTGAGTAGGACATGATGTAATAACATAAAATAAAGGGGCCAATGTAGAAAAAAAACGGCGTTCGCCTTTAAGGTATTTAAGATTATGCTTCAGGTAACTGTTAACGTTTCTGTAAATATCGATGTAAAGAGCTGGCCCTTTTTTAGAAAGTTCTTCTGTTCTGGCAGTTTTGTCACAGTTGAAGGTTTCTGAACTTTAATCAAATTTTAACATCAGACACAGAGAACTAGAGTTAATACTAACTGATAATTTAATGGCAGTTTCCTTTAACAATGAGGGGGAAAAGGAAACAACCCAAATTAAAACTACTTATTCTGTGTGGAATAAATAGTCACACCCCAAACCTATTATCTGGTCATTGTGAGATATGACATGTTTCTTTTGTGTCATCAGGAATGTATAGAGTTGCTGGTGCAGATTCTCAGTCATGCAGGTCATAGTTATTCCAAAAAAGTTTAAAAACAATCCACTGGACTTTGTTTCCAAGTTTGAAGACGTTTCTTTTCCCATCCAGGGAGCTTTTTTTTAAGTCAAAATGTCAGAAATAACGTTGAGTTTGCGGTTGTATAGATTGGACCAAAAACAAAACCTTGTTTTTGCTTAGAAATTTTTCCATTTAGAAAACATGAAAATTAAACCGGACAAACTGGTCCGCCCCTTGAGAATGGGCAGTCGTTGGGTTCTTTGTTAGCTTGTAATATGGGATGGCGATGTTTTTGTGTTTAAATGCAAAAACATCGCCATCCCCTATGTTACATTGTCTCTGAAAAACTCAAGAGGATTTTCTTCAAACATAAAATCCCAGTAAATTTCAAGCCAAGCAAGACCCTTAAACAGAGACTAATGCAGTGAGGAATGCTCTGATCTTTATATTGGAGAAACCAAACAACCTCTCCATAGATGCATGGCCCAACACAGAAGAGCGCCCTCCTCTGGACAAGACTCTGCTGCACAGAGGACATTCCTTAGAGGACCAGAATCTTCACATTTTGGACAAATGTGAAGATTTGTGATAGAGTGGCTCCTTCATCGTGGCAACCACCCCAATGCAGGGGAGCAGAGAACCTCCCTGTTCAGCCAGGCCAACAATTCCCTCTAAGGACACCCCTTTCAGAGAAAAACACAGGTATAGGGTATTGCAGGCTTACAAAGAACCCAACAACTGCCCATTCCCAAGGGACGGACCCATTCGACCAGTTTAATTGCATGTTTTCTAAGCCAAAATAAGGCTTTTTTTTCTTGTCCACCCTATAAAACCTGGAACTCAACGCTATTTCTGACATTTTGCATTGAAAAAGCTTCCTGGATGGAAGGAGAAACTTCATAAAACTTGGAAACAAAGTCCAGTGGATTGTTTTTTAACTTTTTGGGATGTACAGATTTAAAAATAACAATGGATGCACTTTTTGCCCATGTGAGGCTTTCAATCTTTCAGATGTTGATCTGGGTTCATTAGTTACCTCCTATTAATGAATCATCCATGAACTTATAGAATAGTTTCAGGAGGCCTTTGTTTCTTATCTGTTCTTTATGTTCTTTAGCTGCTGGCATAATGTTCTGCTTTGTAAGATGTTTTAGCCTACTTCATGTTGCCTGACAGGTCTTCTGTAAGGGATTTCATGTGCCTGGTTGAGACAAGCTTGGGCCACTAACCAAATTACTGATAGTTTATTAAGGGGGCAATTATTCCCCTTTTCACCTCCTTTAGAAAAAAGACAGAATTTGTCATTTGCTTTGATTTCTTTATCGATCTAAAACATTCAGGTGAGATCAAAAAGCTGCAACACATGAGAAATTTCAGCAGGATACAACTTCACAGCACTTTAGGCCATTAGAGGATTAAGGCAAACCTGCGATTCATGCAGGGTGGAGGCATTCAGGTGGGGCTGCCTGTTTGAATCTCCTGGATGCTGCTGATGGATCATTAGCTCCGCCCTCTTGATGATTTCATACATGCGTAGAACAAACCCCTCCCTCTCGGATGGCATGATGAAGTCTCTAAGGAGCTGAATATAAAGAATTGGTTATTCAAGCTGGTCTGATGAAGAGCTGAATGCTGATTAAATGCTTTGCTCTGATTGGCTGTATCCTAACCATCACAGATGAGATGTCCTCTGGATTGTCTCCATCCAGGTCGAACTTAAAGGTCACCATCTTGTTGTTGTGAGTCTGCAGTTGACACTCCACCACCCGGTCCACCTTATCGGACACCTGAAAGCAGCCAACTCTGATCAGCGAACCCGGTTCAGTTCCCAGGACTCTGACGCTGCTGCTTCCACTCACCCCTATGATCCGCAGCCGAGCTCTGGCTCTGCGTCTGAACTGCTTTGTGGCCTCTCTTTTAGCCACTTCCTGTTTGCTCCGATCGGACTGGGCGTCGTTTCCGTCACTCAGACCGGAGGTTATGTCAGAGGAGTAGCTGCAACAGAAAACACACATAATTAAATTGCTTTAAACAAAGAGGGTTTGGAGTCATTAAATGTTGATAGCAAGTGTGTTTTACCTGTCAACAGGGGAAGAGAACCCCCATGGAGAATCAATAGGAGGGGTCCCAGCACTTTGGGACACAGCAATGCTCTGTAGGTGAGAGATTCAATGGCAAGACTCACTAAACACCACTAGGGGGCAGAAGAAACGATTTTGGTTTTTGTTCTTATTCAGGAACTCAGGCTTTGTGTATTTTCCTGTACTAAATGTGGCTCATGCTGGTTGAATCATTCTTTCATAAATCATAGATCACTTAAAATTCAGCTCTTGATGGCACTATATAATTTTTACACATTGTAAACACATTTCAAGGCCTTATACACACTTAGCAACACAGAGAGAATACAGTGCACAGGGCGTTTGAACCCTAGCACACAGAAACAATGGAAAGCAGAGGTCACATAACAATCTAAGTTGGTGATCTGCACGTTGGATAATTTGTGAGCCAAGAGAACTTGACAAAAACAACTTTTTCCTGTTTAGGTATCAGAGTCAAAACAGACACACATGTACACCATGTTTCAGGAAGGTATAAATGGGGCTGGAGAGGAGGGCCAGATTCGGGGGAAACGCGTTGACATTGTCTGTGATGAAGTAGTGCTGGACTTGTGAAGTTTTTTAGACTGCTGTTGGAATTGGACTTGTCAATAAATGGCCCCCCCCCAATCCGGAGGACAAAATTAGTGTTCAGTGTTTTTGTTTCTGTCTGAAGAGAATTCTACCATTTTGAGCTTCCACAATTGGTGCATTGGCCGGATTGAACTGAATCAGGACCTTCAGGGAGAAAACAGTTTCTAGCCAGCAGGAGCAGGCTGCAGGGCACCCCAATTGAAATACCATTTAGAGCTTCCACACTCTCTAATCTATTGGTAAATAACATGTTGTAGCTGGACTTAAGCAAAGAAATACATTTAGTTTGTTTGTTTTGTTTTTTTAACTACTCAACTACAAGTTCCTTTTGACATAAACCCCATTATGGACTGTTTATCCCTTCTGCTTTATTACCAGCCCCTCCCTGCTGACCTTTGGGAAGCGCAGCACAGGGAATGGCGGGGGTTTGGAAGCTGAACGGTTTACAGGAGGAGGAGTCTGTGGAACAAGGGCGGGGTTTTGAGGAGGAGGCGAGGCGTCGGCAGGTCCTGTGGAGAGGTTGAAGGAGTTTCCTGTCTCACCATCAGCTGTCGTAAGAAAAAACAGTTAATTAGTTCGAAGTGACAGCAGTAATATAATGTTATGTTATGCTGTGTTCACACCAAAGGCGTTATGGGCGTCAAATACATTCAAACACAGAAATTTGGATGCCGGATCAAACTGCGGTCAATTTGCTTTCACACTTCGACATTCTGGATGCTCGGCACTCTGGTTGTTTATCTGCTCCGTTTTGTAGCTTAAAGCTAGAGAGCAGCTTGGCTTTATTTACTTTATTAGTTGGAAAAATTGTTCTAACACGTTCTAAAAGCAAGACAGTCCATCTCCAAACCAAATGTTTTATCACTCTGTTCCCAATCTGCACCGGAAATGGGATCCTGCGCTACTTCTGGGAGCTAACTTTTTCAGCAACACATTGCAACATAAATCTAGTCTTTTTGAGTTTTATGTTTTCCTTTTGCATTAACATTATGGTATATAGTGCATAATCTAAAGAAATTAAAAAATAAAATGAAGATTAAACATTGTTTAATCATAGTTTGCCAGATTGCTCTGAGAATATCCCATGACGACGTCAGACAAGCTGTTTAACAAAGAAAATATAAAAAGCATCAAAAATGTCCCAGACAAGTCATAAAACATGTATATTAGCAATTTTAATGAGTTAAGGATAGAAATAAGTCATTTAGTAGTATAATTATATTATTTATGGAAAACCGGATGCAATCTGTTTGCGCATGCACATGACTGATCGTGATTCGAGGACAGATTGCGTAGTGACAGGCGGTGCTGGAAATCCCCGCTGAAAGCTCTCTGCTGCAGCCAGCCAGTGGGGGATTTCCTGCTACCATTTGTATGGGTTTGAAGTGATTAAAAAGAGTTTTTAAAGTTTGTGATCAAAAGTTGCAAGTATACGGAGCCCCTAAAGGGACACGGAGGGAAAAAATAAACTTTTACAAGATCCCGCAAAAAGTTCTTTTTTTCCCCTCCATGTCAAGTACCAGAATATACAATCGAATATTTTTCATCGGGAGGTTTTAACATTTCGAGTTATTTTGGATATTTATAAACGGTTTCTACATAGTTCATAAAAAATGTTTTAGTGCAGCATTCTTCCGGCTTTATTTTTACCTTTGGAGTTTACCTCTGTGATATTTATTTAGTTTGCATATGCAGAATCTCTGCAGAAGTGATAACATCTTATAGGTCATTGCTGTCTCCCCCAAAAAACTCCTAGATCAACTTTTCTTATTGGTTGACGCTCAGGCGTCCAGCGGCAAAAGTTCAATTTATTGAACTCTAGCATCGACCGCTCGGATGCTCGGATGCCTGAACGCTGGGACACCAGAACGCTCTAAATGCACCGCTACCGAAGCCGCAATGCGCTGCTGGTCCCATAGATGCTGTCCCATATAGACTTTGCATGTAAACCAGACGCCCAGAATGGGTTTGGTGTGAAAGCAGCATTAGACGATGTAATATAGTGTACTGACAGGCAGCTGAGGAGAAAGATGCTTGTTTGGTTGTCTTGTCTTCCTCCTCATCTCCTTCTCCTGCTTTGCTGGAAATGATGCTGATTCCAGAATCTGCAGGGCTGCTACTCGCCACCGACGTCCCCGCGGGCGTTGGTGCCCTGAGCGGGACTTGGACATCAGCAGAAACTTCATTCTGAGTTTATTGGGGAAGCAAAACAAATGCTAACATTTTTAAAAGTCATATAAAAAGATGAAGGAATTATTACTTATTCATGAATAAAATCTTGAAACAATGATCGTATGGAGAATCTGTTTCCATAGCAACAGCTTTAACCTGATTACTGATCCTTCCAGCAGCAGATGCAGGTTTTTGATGGGAAACCTCGGATTGTTCGGGCGCTGCTTCAGTTGCCTTCTTATCAACAGCTGCCTTAAGGTTGTTCATGGCTTCCTCCAGGAGGCGGCGCTTTTTGTCCCGCTCTCGTTTTATGGCAGTCACTCGGTTTCTGATCGCCTTGGCAATCACCTTGTAATCTGCCTTGCACACGAATCCTAGGATCACCTGCAGACAAAGAATGACAGGTGAGACCAGCCAGGTGATAAATCCTTTGTCGTGTGAGCAGCGTGGGGTCGAGGCTACCATCTCCTGAGCCACCTCCTCAGGGACGTCCTTGTACAGCTCAAACAGGAACTCGATGGCGTTGTTGTCTTTGTATTTGCCTCGAAGTTTCTTTTTGTCGTCCACCCTGAGCCAGAGTTTCAGCGCCGCCTTTGTACCATCATCTTCCTCGCCCAGCTCCACGTAGACTCCTGTCTTTTCCTGGAAGAAGCGGTGCTCCAGCAGGTCATGAACCGTAAACCTACAGAGCGGGACATCAACAAACGGCTGAGTTCACTCTGACACATGGAGAAGACACACTGAGGTAACCAAACAGGAGAAAAAGATTAAGTTATTGTCATAATGGCGTTTTCAGTAACAACAAAGACATGTTGGTGTGTGAGGTGAAGTGTCAGAAAAATGTCTTTGGTAGCCATGATTATAAAACTAAGTGTTATTAGTGACACCTTCAAAGTCTGATGTTGACTGATAATATTAACGAGGACATCCAGGCAGCAAGGAGCTGCTTCCTAACTGATATCTGGGCTTTATGGATACATTTATTTGTGTTTCTGTAGGACCCTGCAACCCTTTGGATTAAAGGAATAGTACACCCAAAACATGATTAGCCTTCATTTTCTACTCACCCCCATGCTGAACAACACTCTGGAGTACTTTTTTGATATCTCAAATGCATCTGGAGATCTGGGAGGCTTCTTGCTGTCTGCTGACATTCAAATAATGGAGGTCTATGGTGTCCGAGGCAGAAAGGTCCATAAAAGTCCACAAAAAACGTGTCAATATTCCTCCATACTGCTCGTCCAATGTATTCCAAGTGTCCTGAGTGGGTAGCATCCAGAATTTACTCGAAACGAAGTCATTTAGAATGTTTTTAGAGCATAAACAGTAGTGTATAGGATTTCCTGAAAGCGCGCACATGCGCGCTCACGACGCTACGGAAGCCGGCAGACCAAGACAGATGAAAGTGCGCATTCAGGGTCTGCTCTGCCAATAATGCAAGCGTAGAAGAAGAAATGTGCTGTTTACATGTGCAAAGAAAGAAACAACGAAAGAAAAATGTCTGAGGACTTCAGTGTTGAGGAAGAGCATGAGTTCTTTGCCGAGCTGAATGCGCTGGTTTGGTCTGCCGGCTTCCGTAGCGTTGTGAACGCGCATGTGCGCGCTTTCAGGAAATCCTATACACTACTGTTTATGCTCTAAAAACATTTTAAATGACTTTGTTTCGAGTAAATTCTGGATGCTACCCACTCAGGACACTTGGAATACATTGGACGAGCAGTATGGAGGAATATTGACACGTTTTTTGTGGACTTTTATGGACCTTTCTGCCTCGGGCACCATAGACCTCCATTATTTGAATGTCAGCAGACAGCAAGAAGCCTCCCAGATCTCCAGATGCATTTGAGATATCAAAAAAGTACTCCAGAGTGTTGTTCAGCATGGGGGTGAGTAGAAAATGAAGGCTAATCATGTTTTGGGTGTACTATTCCTTTAATGGCTGAGACCTCTTCCTGTTTAATGAACAGCGATGGGCAGAGAGTGTATGATAGCTGATAACCGCTGAGCATTATGGGTCAGGAAACATTGAGAATCCCAGACATTGCATTAGATTCCAAAGTCTCTGGAAAACTTAAATACTCCATTATGAACAGCTGGTTCAGTGGTTGTGAAATGTTTACAGCAATTAATGTGAATTCCTCAGTCTTCGTTACATTTATTGATCTGATGATCACTGGAGAGAGGAAACATTTAAATACAGGCTAACTTTATTTGTGCCAGGACCTGTTAGTGCCCTCATAGATCACTGTAGTGTTCTATAATTGATGTTTCATATGAACTGAAAGTACTCCAGTAGGGTGAGATTTCAGTTTCTGTACGGCCTGTTCAAGGGGAGGGGGGGTGCGGTGTCCGAGGCCTCACTGTCATTAAAGGGCATCTGGACCATATTGTATAAAAGGTAGGGCAGTTATATCATGCAGCCTTCAATTGACAGCAGTTTTTACTTAATCAATTCAGTGTCTCTTCCTTTAAAACAGCGGTCTTCAACGTTTTCCAGGCCAAGGACCCCCAAACTGATGGCGAGATGGAGTGGGGACCCCCTAATTATATATATTCTGTAAAAAAAAATGTTATATCAAACTGGTCCTTTAGTCACTCTATTACAGATGTAATAGAGTGACTAAAGTAATCCCTCCCTGGGATTATTAAAGTATTTCTGCTTCCTGGTTGATGGGACAGGTGTTGTGAATGAAACGGTGTCCAGCTTGAAAGAGCTCCTGTGCGTCGCTGAATGTGAGCATTGATGCCTGAAAGACGTCTTCTGCCTCCATTTATCTGTTTACTACAGTGTGTTGAATTCATGTTAATGTGGATTTAAAGACATTTCAATTAGTGGGAAAATTTGCAGGGGGGAATATAAAAAAAGTCTAATCAACCAAAACTTTCGCGACCCCCATGCAGTACCTCTGTGGACCCTGTTGAATACCTCCGCTTTAAAAGGTTCAAAGCAACATTATTAAAAGATTTCTGAACTATTGCACTGACCAGAGTACTTTGCAAGTACAGAGGTTCATCATCAATCAGTTCATGTTTTGACTCCAATCAGCTTGCATGTAAAAGCATCTACTGCAGATGCTACAGCCAGGAATCATAAACAGCAGCCAAGTAGTTATGCTAGGTTAGGATTTTATTTTTCTTCAGTTTTGAACTGTATGCGGAAGCAAACCTTGTTTAAAATAGAAGCATCATCATTGCAAACAGGAGTTTTTAGCAGATCGACTATTAAGATATAATTTTAAATACAGGAGCTCCCAAGGGAATGAGATGCACCTGCTGAATTCCTGCTGTGACCTGTTTGCAGATGACATGGTGCTGGTTAGGCAGTGAAACGTCTCTATGGACACTCTGATGATTCTAACCTCATTAATGAGTTCCATTAATGGTGTAATCCTGATGATGTGGTTAATGATTTCTAACCTCTGAGACTTTTTTTAGCTGATACAGATCCAATTTTTTTATATACAGCTTCCATATTTATTTAGGAAATTGTTCACATAAATATTGAAATACTGAAAGTGTTTAAACTTCTTTCATCTGCAGCCTTCATGGTTTGGATAATTGGAGTGAAAGACAAAAGCAACCCATCATCATCATTATTATGGGGGACAAGGTGGAGTCAAGGTCGCGTGAAGATTTGTATAAATGTCAACAAAGTAAGAGTGACCCACGTTATTCAGAGCAGGAAGTGCAATCAAGAGCATTTTTAAGAAATAATTTATCCAAAATGCAATTATGTTGTTAATTTCTCTTAAAGTTGTGCCCATTGTTTTGTTTCTGACCTTTTCTCTGCTTTTGGTTTCTTAATTTTAAGTTTTAGTTTGTCTTTATCATGTCCTATTTTGTTTTTAATCACCACTTGAAGAGCTGAGGTCAATAAATATAATGATTTGCTTTTAATATTAACTTAAAGCTCTATATTCATATGGAACCTATACAAATAGTTAAAAAGCTAAATGCTTCCAAAACTAAAGCGATATGCTGATGACTCCCATGTTAATATTAGTGTTTCCAGAAAACCCATATTTTAATCCTTATTTATCTTGATATACTGTATATATATATATTGTTTATTCTTAATGCACCTTTTTACCTTTGCACCTTCTTTAATTAACATGCCAATATGTAACCAGTGAATTTCTCCGCGGTGAGATCAATAAAGCTCATTTAATCATCTAATCGTAATAAAGGTATTGTGGAGGATATTTTAAAGACCCGCCCACCTCTCCACTCCAAAAAAAATTGCATGCCGGAGCCCATTTCCCCTCTGTTTGGACAGATATTCACTGCTTTTTGCTTCGTTGGTCACATAACTCCTCCTGCTCTGCTGGTGGGCAACAGTGGGCCGGTGTGAGAGCGACATAGTGCTTTGCGAGGAGAGCATTCTGGGATATATTCTCATTCGCTTCAGACACTTTTTCTCTTACAACCTTTGGCCATTTTCAAGGAAGCGCAGTGAGAAAGGCGAGCTTCAATGACTGTCTGAAACCGTAGCTCACCACAGATATCGAAAAAGATGGCTAACGGGGCGAGCACGTAGGACGGCCTTACGTAAACATATAACCTGAAAGATTGACAATCAGGAGGACCACTTATTGAGATGATCCACCCGGAAATAAAAGATAAAAGATAGATTTTAACACATTGTTTTTGGAGTCAAACAATTGATCCCTCCGTGTAGAAAAACTTGCATGTTGACACCATGGTCAGAACATTTTTTTTCATTTACCGTATTTTCGCAACTATAAGGCGCATATAAACGTCTTTTTTTTTCACTCAAAATCTGCAGCGCTTCTTATAGTGCAGTGGGCCCTATGTGTGTTGTTACTGCGGACGTTGTTGAGACTGCCATGAGAACGTTAAAGGGGGAAGTGTGGGCGTGGATTGTTTATAAAAGAACAGGTATGTGTTCGCTGTTAATCTGTGACTCCATGCGTGCCCATCTCACAGCCGATGTGAAAAACATGGTGAAACAAATGAACGCTGTGCTCGCTGTTATCCCGGGAGGAACTTCAACCGCTCGACATCGGTGTGAACCGGCCGTTCAAAGTAAGGCTGCGAGCGGCGTGGGAGCGATGGATGACAGACAGGCAAGTTATGCCACCGTTTGCGGATGGATTGTTGATGCTTGGACTAACGTGTCTGCTGGCTCTGTTGTTCAAGCTTTGGCAAAAGCCGGCATCATTTCCAAGGAGCCGCCCGGCACGGAAAGTGACTCTGACAGCGAAGAAGGGGAAATTGGCATGTCTGATTTAGCGCAGCTGTTTAATTTAGAAACAGAGGATGATGACTTTGATGGGTTCGATTAATACTTTGTAATAAATACATGAATAAAGCACAATCATACTCAGTTTTGCTCCCGCTCTATTTTTAAATACGCAGTAGAGGTATTTAAGCGTAGTAGAGGACATGTACCGGTATATAAAACCCGCGCCCTATAGTCCGGTGCGCCTTATGTGTGTGTTAAATACAGTAATGGAACACATAACTGCCACTGCGCCTTTTAGTACGGTGCGCCTTATGGTCGGGAAAATACGGTAAATCTATAAATGAAAATACAGAAATACAAAGTTCCTTTGCTGTAAATGAGGATCCAGTGTTTCCCTGCTGTAGTGGCAGTCGTGGGTGAGCGGTTAGGGTGTCAGACTTGGTTCCCAAAGGTTACCGGTTCGACTCCCGACCCGCCAGGTTGGTGGGGGGAGTAATTAACCAGCCCATCCTCCTCCATGACTGAGGTACCCTGAGCATGGTACCATCCTGCCACACTGCTCCCTTGGGGCGCCATTGAGGGCTGCCCCCTTGCACGGGTGAGGCATAAATGCAATTTCATGGTGTGCAGTGTTCACTTGTGTGTGCTGTGTCACAATGACAATGGGAGTTGGAGGAGTTTCCCAAAGGGCTTTTCATGAGAATCATGAACGAAGCACAGATTCAGTGTTTTCTGCTGAATTCAGCACTGTAAACTAACCAGCCACTGTGTTTCCTCCACTGACCTCTTGCTGCTGTCGGTTCGAATGCAGCCCTCGATCATCTCTTTCAGCTCTGGGACTTGTACTTTGAAAAAATTATCCGGTTTGATTCCCTGAAGGAAAAGCAAATGGTCAAATACGGGAACCGAGCAGGACGTAAGATGGTGCGAGGTTGGCGGCGCCTTACATTGGTGACTTTGCGGTAGATCTGAGCCGCATTCTTACATTCAGAATACGGATATTCTGACGTGGCCATCTCCAGCATGCACATTCCAAAGGCGTAAATGTCCACTGCTTCATCGTACTTCTCCTCGTACATCTCTGGAGCCATGAACTCAGGAGTTCCTGAATGCATCATGAAACAGTGTGAGACACGCAAAAGGAACAAAACCACCTCTTATAGGTCAGCTGCGACTCACCAATGACACTCTTGGCAAACGAGGCCTTCTTGAGTGTCGCCAGCCCAAGGTCTCCGATCTTAACCGAGGCGGTGGGTCCATTGATAAAGATGTTGTCACACTTAAGGTCTCGGTGCAGGATTGGTGGAGAGCGTGAGTGCAGGAAGTGAAGACCTTTTAGGATCTGTAAGCTCCATCTCTGCAGCAGCTTCAGCTTCATCGGCCGGAACCTTCGAACGTACCTGGATGGTTAGAAAGAAACGAGACGAAATGGTTTAAGTTGGAGTGAAATTCATTAAGGAGTCATTCAAACTGAGAAAAGCAAATCAAATCAGAGAATATCTAGACGGGCCTCACGTTTTCAGAGTTCCAGACGTCATGAGCTCCGTCACCAGGATGATGCATTTGGTGGACTTCCAAGAGTCAAAGAACCTGACAATGTTGGGATGCTGCAGAACTTTTAGCATTTCCACCTCCTCACTGAAGCGCTGACGCTCGGATCTGGTCAGACGGTGAGTCTGTTGAAGAAGAACACATAAAAACATTCAGCCGTTAAAGGAAAATTCCGGTTTTTAACACTTTTAGCCCATTTTCTGTAGTGTCCAGGATGAAATCGAATGATCGACACCAAAATTTTGACAATTGGTCCTGTCTCTGCTATTTGGCTCATGCAGAATCCCCCCCTGGCTGCTTCAGAATGGCTTCCATAGTGCATGTCCGATAATGTCCTTAAAACAACCTTAAACGTTCTTTTTTTAAAATATGCTACTCACCGGGTCGTCAGCGCTGTTCAATGACGTTCCAAAAAAAGTTTCGTAAAGAAAAAACGTTCCTGTAGTGTTTTATTTAGCATTTTGTAAATCCCATTGAGTTCTGTTGGAATAGTTAATATTCCCCTGCCACCGGAAACGGAAATGGGGCCTGTTTACACTTAGTTGTAGTCTTTTCGCTTCACTCTGTGTACTCCGACGTCGAGGTGCTAACGTCTCTGTTAAACACTTTAAAAAACTCTGAAAATGGAATACGAAAGGTGGATTCTTGAGGAGGACATATTGGACTTTGAGTTTGACGGTAGAGGATACCGTCGCCAACTAGTGGTCTGGAGTGTGCAACGCTTCAGATTCGAACGGGAAGCGGAAGTTTATAAGCGGTTGTGATGTATCGGAAAAAATAGTTCTGGGATTTACAAAATGCTAAATAAAACAAGACAGGAAGGGTTTTTCTTCACGAAACTTTTTTTGGAACGTCATTGAACAGCGCTGACGACCCGGTGAGTAGCATATTTTAAAAAAAGAACGTTTAAGGTTGTTTTAAGGATATTATCGGACATGCACTATGGAAGCCATTATGAAGCAGCCAGGGGGGGATTCTGCATGAGCCAAATAGCAGAGACAGGACCAATTGTCAAAATTTTGGTGTCGATCATTCGATTTCATCCTGGACACTACAGAAAATGGGCTAAAAGTGTTAAAAACCGGAATTTTCCTTTAACCTTGTGAGGGAAAAGCTCCACCATGAAGGACTCTGAAGCTTTCACCCTCACTGATCTGCTGCTAATGAACCGCTGACATGAAAACATCTCACTCTGCTGCAAGACTTGGTTTTTATGTTTGTTTATTTATGACCCTTTATGCCACTGAATTACAGAACAGCCACCAATAAGAATATAGCCTTAAGATAAAAATACAAATAAAATTAGATAAATTATTTCACTTTAATTTAGTTCTTTCTTTAAGTAAGGAAAATTTCAAACAGTTTATAGTATTTGTTTAAAAGGCTAATAAAATTAACTAATAATATGAAATCACCAGAATAAAATCTTTATCTCATCTGGACCTAAAGTCTGTTATTTGCTCTTTTTAATTTGTAACTCTGCTGCTTTCCAAACAAATTTAAACTATTTTCCTGGTCTTGCCTTTTTTGGAGTAGAGGTTTAGTTTTAGGTTTTAAAGGTTTAAAGGTTTTAAAGTTTGGTTCAGATCAGCAGAAGGCAATGTAAGGTCCTCAGTAGGTCTGTATAACCCTGTGTGAGTGAGGTCTATGCGTGTTATCACCAGCATGCAGCAGCGTGTTTTCACTCAGATACTGTGTATGCTTCAACAAACTGCTGACTCACACTTCATCACCCATATGTGCATCTATCTGCAGCCGGCTGATGTTACCGTGACACAAGTAGGTGAAGGACAGAAAACCCTCCTGTTGCAGACATGGTGTTAAGCCACAGTCAGCAGTTTAAGTTGAAGGGAAATACCTCAGTGTGTTTTACAGGAGCTAAGCTGATGCCTGATGTCCTCATGGTTTGGTACCCAGGGGTCAGAATGACAGGCTTCACATTCCCACTGTATACAGAGTAGCTCAAAGGGAGAACGTAGATGGGCAGACCTGAAACAGGCATCCTGGAGGATTCTGTAACACATCGGTCCCCACCCTTTTTTGCACCACGGACCGCTATATATGTCACATAATATTTTCACGGACCGGCGGGGTGGGGGAAATACGGTCAAGTAAAAATGATACGACTGCATAAAACCACATACAAACAGCATAAAAATAAAACAACAAGCCGGTCCCATCTAGGCGTAATCGGAGAAAATGACATACGAAGTGTGCTCCTGATGTCCAGTCTGCTCTGTAGCTTTGTTTTGGTTGCTGTAACAGCAGAAAATCCCGCTTCACAAAGATAGGATGTTAGAGATAGGATGAGTCTTGACCTGAATTAACCTGTGTCAAGAGGCACATATACACCGACTGATGTAATTGGGAGAGAATACCGCAATTTTTTATATTTTTCAAAATAAAACATCACTCAGACTACTTTTTTCTGTGCGGCCCGGTACCAAATGATCCACGGACTGGTACCGGTCCGCGGCCCGGTGGTTGGGGACCGCTGCTGAAACACATGTCTGAGTCACCTCAGCTAACTCCTCTGAGTGTGAAGGAGAAGCGTTTTCTACTCCGAGCCTCTCCCGGCCACCCTGTGGACTAAGCCCCATTCGACGGCTTGTACTGGCTGGCACTCTGGGTCTCAGAGTAAGACTCTTAACCTCACACTGCTCCCCGGGAACCCAAAGATGGCAGCCCACTGCTCCTCAAGGGGATGAGTTAATGCAGAGGTAAATTTCTCCAATGTGAGATCAATAAAGTTCAATGATTATTATGTATCTGGGATCTTGTTCTTTCAGCTGCACCAATCTTTCTGTTGATCACCTGCTCTATTGTTCCTTCACTTCTGAACAGGACCCCAAAATTAGGGGCAGGATCTCCTCTCTGATCTAAAGAGGGAAAGCTGACTAATAGCGGTCAAGAACCACGGACTTGGACTTGTAGGAGTTTCCTCATCTTCCTTGAAAAGCCACCTTACTGTGGTGAAGGGGATTGCTCAGATTATCCCAAAGGCTTTGATGTTTGAGGCTTAAATGCTCATTGTAGATTTTTAGCTGTTCAAAAACCTTTATGATGACCACAAAAAAGAGGCCAGTGATGTCACCTGTCAGAGCTGGGACCTCACCGTGGAGCCACCAGTTTGGCTTAACCCTGGTGGGACCAAGCTGAAGGAGAGATGCAAAGCTATCCCCAATTGGGCCCAGCACCTGCTGGGGACACCATGAGGGTCTGGAGCCAAGACGATTCAGCCACAGTCAGAGGCAGATGCAACCTGAACTACAGACACCTAGCTGAAAGCTAACAGCTGAAACTGTCTTTTTAAAAGTAAGATGTGTAAAGGATTTCTTTCACCCAGCTGACAAGCAGTATGCAGCAACATGTGTGCAAATGTTTCAAACACTAAACCCTGGTGGGTTTAAGGTCTGACCCTGGTTGTCAAGCTTCTACAGAACTTTAGTGAAAGCTCTTCTTGCTGGAGGTATTGGGTTGCTAGTTAAGGTAAGTCCCCCCGCTTGCAAACAGGAGGCCTGGGTTTGTATCCCAGCTAGGGGGGAATGAGCTGCCAGTGCGGGTCCTTAGGCAAGACCCTTAACGCTAATAATGTCTGTTTTGGGGAGTGGCAGCATAGGGGTTAGGGATTGGAATCCTGAGGTTCAGAGTTCAAGCCCCAGTCCCACAGACTGCCACTGTGAGTCCCTGTGCAACACCCTTAACCCCACACTGCTCCCCGGGCGCCGTACAATGGTAGCCTACTGCTCCCCAAGGGGATGAGTTAAATGCAGAGAGGGAATTTTGTTGCTCTGTTCTTGTAACAGTGGAATGACACTAAAAAAACACTGGAAAATGACCAAGAACTGCAGACCTAAACGGACCTTCATCTTAAACCATCTTCAGGTTGGACACATGGAAATCTGAGCTAAGAATCTGCATGTGGCCGTCATGATGATTCCCATGTGTCGATGTTACCTGCAGCTCGCACCATGCCACCTCCACCGTCTTCTCCGTGTCCAGGCCTTTGTAAACCGTCTTAAAGGAACCTCGCCCGATCTCGATGTTGAACTTCAGGAATCGTCCATCAGGCGATGAGCCCACCGCCTTCGTCTCCTCTTCGTCCTCCTCCTTCCGTTGTTGCCATAGCAACTCCTCCCTAGTAGAGTCAGACAGGGTGATTCCCGCCTCCTCCGCGGAGTCCCAGCCGATGCTCTGACCTGCTGCAGGTTTCTCGCCGGCATCTGATTGGCTGGTTCTGTCGTCCTCTGAAGTTTTCATGGAGGTGGGAGGAAGACTCCATCCTTCCTCCTCTTCCTCCTCATCTTCATCTTCCTCTTCTTCTGGCCTCTTCTTGGTGTCACTGTCAGGTGTCGAGGTCATCATGGTACACTGAGGTCTAGCTGAAGGTGTCCCTGTGAGGTCACCGGAGTGGGCGGAGCTTCAATAACCTGAAAACCAAAGGAATTTTTCTCCATTAAAATCTGTAATGTTGATGTTGGAAGTAAATATTAAACTGATATATTGCCAGAACAGTTTGTGGAGTTTAAGGAGTTTCCCACACATTATTTAAAGTTTATTAGCCTGTTTCATTGCCATTTTATATTTATTATTAAACTGATTATGATTACACATCTTAGAAAAGTAGAAAAATAAGAATATGTCAAACAAATAATCCATTTATTATTTTTTGTAAATTATCCATTTTTATCAGAGAGTAAAATATTAAACATAATTGATCTAAAAAACTTTAATTAGTAACTTTGTTTATACAGCCTTGTAGCCTGACAGTAAGCAGGTTAATCATCTGTTCCTCTAACAGCTTCATCTTCTGATTATTACCAAATCTTCAGACTCTGGTTGCTTTGAATAACTGAATAAACTTTTAGTTATGATATATTTCATGTAAATAATAAAGTGATTTTTTTTCTACTCACTCTGATGAGCCTCAGACTGGAAACCAGTAAATCCAAGCAGCTGGGGGAACTTTAAAGTTCTGTTTTAGTTTGGGTCTGGCTCCTCTGCTTCTTCTGTGACGTCACAGCCTGACACTCTGCTCGCGCTATCAGTTCACAGCAGGCTGCACGAGCGACAGGAAGCCCCGCCCACCGGACACCTGTCACCTGTCTGATAGAAACCATCTTGGAGTGGCGACCAATAATTTATAGAAAAAGATCAATAGATCACTTGATTTTGTTTTTTAAATAATTATTTTAATTAAAACATTTATTTTTATTTTTACTTACAGTTATGAGGTAAATGGTTCATGCTATTTCCCTTTTATTTAAAGACTGTTGTATTTTTTCCTATAAATAAATAAACTAATATAAACAGAAAGGTTAGTCCTGCTTTATCTCTACCTGGACCCCCAGTGTAGAGAACAGCTTAGGATCCTAATCCTGCCTTCTGGGATTTTTAGAAACATTAAACCTGATATTTGTTAAACGATGATAGAAAATGACTTTCCTTAACTGTTATTTTTTAATGCCTTTTTGATTTATAATGTAGAACAACCATCAGCTGCTTCTTTACAGACAATTCAAAGATCAAAACACATTTTTATCAGGAGATAATCTTTACTTTAAAACCTTTAAATTCTGCCATAACTTTAATAACTTATGCAGAGTTCTTAAAAAAAAAAGCTGTTACTATATATTATTTGTTGCGATTAAATAATAAAATATTACCAATATAATTTTTGTTGTGTGTTAATTTTTTTTTTATTAAATTTCCTCCGTGCTGTAATACCAAATTTTGTCCACTAGATGGTGACATTTATCATAAACTCTGCAATCTCCGTTTTTATTTTATTTTCTATAATTTTTTCAAAAATATTATATTTGTAATTCTCTTAGGTGGATAATTAATCGTGTTGAATAAAAAATAATCAAACTAATCAAACTAGATATTTAATTATGTATTTATTTTTTCTGTATTTATTTGATTATTTTTATTTATTTATTTATTTATTTATTTATTCATACGGTCGTGTGTAAAAGCTGTTTCCATCTGTTTCATGCACAGACCTCTGTCCTCCGATTTAACTGATGTGAGTATTAAAAACCTCTTTTGTTTGCTTCTAATTTTCTACATGTTATATCTTTATAGATGCCTGTTTTAACTTCATGCTTTTTAAATGGAATCCAATCAGCTTAAGGCTTTTTTTTTTCTAATTTATGGTCTGTTTTCTGGCTGAGATTTCAATGCAAAAGATACAAAATGATAATAGCAACAAAAAATGTCCTCATGCTTAGAATTAATCAGTCGGTAAAACTTGAAACAGGTTAGAAAAAGATTGTTTTAAATATATGTAGAAAACAAAATATTATTGTTTTCCTGAACCTGAAGCTGTTTTTTTTTATTTTTAATCCCTGCAGGAGGATTAAGCAGCTCTTCTCCTTCATCTCATCATAAATCTGTTCCTTATCCTGATCTTTCATCTTAATCCCTTTGTCCGGTCGTTTTATCTTCCTCTGTTTGCAGTGACTTTACTGCAAACATGCAGATGTGATCAATGTTAAATATAGTTTGATGATCGAAAGCAGGGGTCACCAACCTTTTAAAAGACTGAGGTCTAATTCATTGGTACTGAGTCATAGGAAGGGCTACCAATACTGACCTATGAGCTGGAGGAGTTTGCCTTCAGCTAAACTTCATAGATAATAAACATATTTCTATTGTTTCTTTTCATTTCTAATTTGCTTTTAGATATTGTCATTTATAAATCCCTGTAAATGCTTAAATGTTTTAAATTATTGATATGATAAAATGCTCTATAAATGTTTTTTTTTAAAGTAAGAGAAGCAGCATAAGATACAATTTCAAACTTAGTCCATTGGTGAGTTGTTCTGTTTTCAGACGATGCTGAGGGGCCCCCATGTGGTCCTTGAGGACCCTTGGTTCCTGTGGGCATCATGTTGGTGACCCCTGATCTACAGGTTGATCTATAGATTTATTCTCATGAAGCTGTGTGATGTCCTAAGGTTTCTTCAAGGATCAGCAATCTGTTCATCGAACACTAGGATTCCTGTTCTGTTCTTCTCTGCAGGTGATTTTTCCTCGTTAACAGAGCATGCAGATACATGTTTGACAGGAGGGCAGCGCTTTGTGACCTTCCTTCAAGTCATGTTCTGCTGTCTGAAGCTGCTGCACCTCCTTTTTCTAATCCCCCCATCGTCCCTCCAAGGGGTGGCGCTGTGGCGCCGGGGAAACCGAGTGTCCTCCATCAACGCCTGCCAGCAGACGGAGGCGGCAGACGGTGGGCTGACTGTTCGCTGCAGCGGACTGCGATTGGCTCAGGTCTGTCCGCTGGTCCCAGTTCAACCAGTTGATTCCCATGTAGATGGTTGAGTCTTTAGGAGTCTGGTTGATGGACTTGGTCCAGGAGAGTGGGTCCAGAGACCTTCTCAGATGTGTTTGTCTCTGCAGATACCGGCCGGCCTGCCTAATCACACCACCCATCTGTTTCTGAACAAGAACCGGCTCACCTCTCTGCCTGCCTTCTGCTTCTCTGATCTGTTCCTGCTGGATGAACTGGATCTGTCCCACAACCAGGTCCTCACCCTCCAGTAGGGCACCACCGCAGAGAAACGGGAGGAAATGGTTTCACTCACTTCCTGTTTCCCATCACAGTTGTCCTTTCTGGAGCCGGGATGTTTCTCTGGCCTGGTGTCGTCTCTCCGGTACCTGGACCTCTCATCCAATCTCCTCACCACGTTGGACCCTGTGGTTCTTGGTGGACTTCAGGTCCAAGCCAACCTGAGCCAGAACCCGTGGCACTGTGACTGCAGCATGCAGGTGAGCCTCGGTTTGAGAGAAGAGCTTCCTAAGGTTGGTAGGTGAATGACTTCATGTCTGTGTTCAGATTTCAGTACCTCAGCTGGACATGGACATGTCCTCCCTGGAGAAAGTCATCTGTCAGACCTCGGACCTTCCAAACCTCGGTAGGTTGGCTCCACGTGATTGCTTGTTTTAAACCTCACAAAAAAGATTCTGGTTCTAACCGTTCGTTTTAGGAGCTGTTGGACTTCCGCTGGTCGTACTGATGCAGGACTGGGATCTGTGTCAGTCTGTGAGGAGAACCACAGACTTCCTGACCCTGATCACCATGTTCCTCTGGTTCGGCATGCTCATCGCCTACCTGATCCACTACATTCGACACAACGAGGTGTTCGCCCGACGACACCTGGAGTACCTGAAGTTCCTGGAGAGCCGGGACCCTTTTAGACCCAGATAAAGATCTCCTTTGGTACCATTCAACTGCAACTTCCTATGTAGTGGAAGTTCTTTTGGGTCATTTGTTTTCAAATTATCCTTTCCTCAGAACTTTAAAAAGTTAAAGTTAAAAAAAACAATCCATTGGACTTTGTTTTCAAAGTTTGAAGACGTTTTGCTTCCCATCCAGTAAGCTTTTTCAATTCAAAAGGTCTGGATTAGAGTTGAGATCCAGGCTTTATAGAGTAGCCCAACAAAAGCTTTGCAATGACTTAGAAAATGTGCACATTGTATTACAATACCCAATACTGGCCCATTCCTCTGAAAAGGCAGTCGTTAAGGGTCACTGTTGGCCTGGCTGACCTGGCGAGATCGTATTGGGAGGGATTTTGAGAACTGTACGCTGAGTCGACCCCCCTTTGTTAAACATTTTTATCTTTTAACATAAATGGCTTCAAACCGTCTGTCTTCTTTATCTACAATGTGAACATCTAAAGAAGATAAAGAAGATAGGTGGTTTTAAAGGGGTGTGAAGGAAGCAAACCAACCTTGGACAGAAGGGGTGGACTCAGGTTTCAGTTCTCAAAAACCTACAACGCAGCAATAGAGTTGATTCCTTCCCAATACCATCTCAACCCCCATCGCTATGCAAAGGGACAAAATATTTGGCCAGGGCTGCCAGGCCAACAATGACCCTTAATGATTGCCTTTTCTGAGGAATGGGCCAGTTATCAGGTATTGCAGGCCAATATCGACCTCAACGACTCTGTTAGGTTTATTCAGTGATGATTATAAAACATTTTTGCAAGGGGATGCTCCACTCCTGTCTCATGATCCAGTCAGGAGACCATCCTGCCTTGTCATTCTGATGGAGCATTCTGTCTTCATGAACTGATCAATTGTTCTGTCAGAACAATACTCTGTTTGTAACCATGTGTCATGTTCTGTTAATAAATGCTCTGCGGAGGAGGTCCAGTGGGAGACAGTGTGTTTGAGTCTGGGGTTCAACTGTCTCTCCTTCCTGCAGGAATTGTATCCATAAATTGTGTATTTCATTTCTTCTTCAGCAAAACCCTACATTTTATGAACCCAACAGACTCCCATTATTAACGGGTGGTTTCTGGTTTTCCAGTTTCAATCTGCATGTTTTCTAGGCCATTACAAGGCTTTGTTGAGCTACTCTATAAACGCCTGGAAATCAACGCTAATCCAGACATTTTGAAATGAAAAAGCTTCCTAGATGGGAAGAGAAACGTCTTTAAACTTGAAAACAAAGTCCAGTGGATTGTCTTTTAACTTTAACTTTTTGGAATGAGTATGACCTGGATGTCTGAGAATCTCCACCAACATGTTTCTGCTTTCAGGTCCCAATAGAACCCTGATCATTTGCACAACTTCATCCACCAGATCTCCATTGAGCTCAATAGAACTAAAAGACATTGTTAAGCTGTTAAACTAACATCTCATGGAGGGACCTCTTCACTTTAATCGGACCTTGATCCTTCTGGAACCTTTCAGAAACTTCCTCGATGATCTTTAGCTCGCGTTCATCATGTAGGCCAGGCATCCCCAACCTCGGTCCTTGAGGCTCGCTGTCCAGCAGGTTTTAGAGGTTTCCCTGCTTTAACACAGCTGATTATAATGATTGCAGTAGATCAAAAGCCTGATAATCAGCTTTCAATTAAAATCAGCTGTGCTGGAGCAAAGAAACCTTTGAAACCTGCAGGACAGTGGGCTTCGAGGACGGAATATGGGGATGCCTGGTGTAGGCAACCATAAAGATTATTACAGTTCATTAGAAATCCCTACAGGTACTTCATCTCTGGAGAATCTCTAAACCAGGCGTCTAAAACTGGTTCCAGAAGTGAGTCCCGTCTTAACATGGTGACTTGATGAGATGAATGGAGTCTGCTGCGCTACTGCTTGGTTGGAAAGAAAACCTGCAGCCATACGGCCCTTTCTGGAACCAGTTTGAGACCCCTGATCTAAACAAACACTCAAACTGCCACAATGACCATAAGGATCTCTTTAAAAGAAATAAGAAAATACCTTTGAAGATGAACAAAATGCTTCACTGAACAAATTAAACCGATTTAATTCAACCATACAGCTTCCTGTAGATGAGGTGATGTTTCAAAATGACCCTAAACCTGCACATCCACTTTACAGCTAAAGGTATTTAAAGGATCTCACCCACAAAAAAATGCCATTTGGGCATCTTAGATAAAAAATACGAATTACTTTACTTTTCCAATGCTATGTTGGATTTTAATGGCATTACACTGCAAAAAATAGAAACCTAAATAAGTTATTGTTTCTTAAAATAGGTGAATTTTGTCTTAATTAAACTGAGGAGGTAAGTGAGACACTTTGCCAATGGAACAAGACAATTGACATTTAAAAAGAAAAGAAAGAAAAAGAAAAATATCTGCACTGTCTTATTACAAGCGTATATTATCTAATTATCTTATTTTAAGAGTAAACATGCTCAATCCATTGGCAAATCATCATGTTTACTTACTAAAATTAAGGGTAAACAAACTTGATTTAAGAAATTTTTACTTATTTCTAGATCGGTTTTGCAGTGTAGAGCATAACCAGCAGCTCTGGAAGTTAATCCATCCAAATCACCCTTTCAGCATTAATCTGTGAACTGTATCTGAATGTTTCCATGGTAACTGCTCCCTACCTCAGAAACTACACCCTCCTCTCACATTCTGCGCCTGTTAAACCTTGTTTTTGCGTTAGAAAGCTGAATAAATCCTTTAAAATCACTGTGGGTTGAGTTCTTTGTGTGTCTGAAACAGGTTGGATGTTTAAATGATTGCCTCATTTTTATAGGATGCCATTTGTAAAGTTAGGGAGTGAAAAATTAGGAGCAATATTTATGGTTAATTAGCGTGTTTTAAGAGAAAAATAAGGGGGTTATGTTTTTCCATGTCAGTTTTTTTACTATGTCATTCATTCGTTAATAAAAATCTTACTTTGTTATATAAATTGTTTAGTTTGGATGTAAATATTTAGTTTGCAAATTAAATGTTTAGTTTGTTTAAATCCAAACTTAAATGATTTAAAGAGGTTACTAAATATTTAGCTCCAAACTAAAAAGAAAGAGTTTTATAAATGAATGAATGACATAGTGAAAAACATGACTTGTAAAAAAAAATTAACCCTTTCTTTTTTGACTGCTTAAGTTTAAAACTTTACATTTCAACCTATCCATGGGCACCCCCCAGGGGAGTATTAGTGCTGCGGTAATTATTTTAACTAGTAAATATCTGTGGAAAAAGAGCTATTTACATCCATAAAACCAGACTGGAGGGTTCTAAAAGCGTGGACTTGAATAAGTTTGACTGTTTGGGCCAAGTTTCTGTAGCAAAGCATAAGAGCTTGTGACTATGTTTAAAAGGATGTTCAGAGGCCTTTTTTACTTCTTGGTGAAATGTAGCTTTTTCTTATGGAAGACGATTAGGGCTACTGAAAAAATAAAAAAAAGTAAACTGATTTTTAAATTTGATCTCAGTTTAATATGGGAAAAAGTCAGAATTCTGATTTTTTTTCAGAAGAAACATGTTAACTTAAAAAAATAAATAAATAAATCAGTGTTGCTAATCCGCTTCTGTGTTTTCTTTTACAGCAGTATTATTGTTTTTTTTAATTTTAGCTTTATCTTGCCGCAAAGAACTTTTAAGGCGCAACTGTAGGAACGGTACTAAGAAAACCTATTAGCTGCCTATTATATTTATAAATGGCTTTAGGTTGTTGATTTGTAATGTCAAGAAATAACCTTAAAATTTAAATGTAAAAAAATATATATATATTTAAATCATGTTTCTGATCTAACAGACTAAAATTAAAATAATAATAAAATCTGAAGCTTTATTTTGTTTAAAATGTACTTTTTTAAAAACATTTTATTAACTTAATTGAATAAAAATTCTCATTCCTCTTGAGGCTCTGGATCACCGAAAGGAGACGAGAAAAAAGGTACAAGCGGTTGATACGAAGCGGAGAGAAGGCGGTTGACATAAACTGGTTTGTGACTGGATCGGGATGGCAACAAAGTCAGATGGGGGTGGTGAGGATGACATGGATTTTGATGAGTGGACATCGGTAGGAAGAGGAAGAGGTAGAGGTAAGGCGAAGGTTCTGAGAGAGGATAGAGTAATTGGTAGCCAGAACACTAAACGAAGTTTGGAAGAGTACAGCTCAGATGAAGAAAACAGAGCAGTCAGGAAAAAAGTAACAAACGAAGAATTTAAGATAATACTTAAATTCAGGAATGAAGATATAAATGTTAACCTGAGCCCGATTCAAGTCTCAAGAGAAATAAAAAAGAAACTAGGGGAAGTGGAATTTGTTAAAACATTACGAGATGGAAACATGTTGATAAAATGCAAATCTGAAGATCAAAAGAATAAATGCATGCAGATTGACAACATTTGCAAAAAAGTTGTTAGTGAGAAACTAATTGTTGGAGAAAATAGAGTGTCACGTGGTGTTATCACTGGTATTCCGCTGGAGGAGGATTTAGAAAGACTCAAAAAGAATATACAGGGGGGAGAAGTTCGGAGATTGAAAAGATTGCAAAAGCATGTAAATGGAGAACAAATAGAGAGCTTATCGATTCTTTTGGAGTTTCAAGGAGAAGTCCTTCCTGATAAAATTAAAATTGGATTTATGAGTTTTCCTGTAAGACCATATGTCCCTCCCCCTTTGCGCTGTTTTAAATGTCAAAGGTATGGTCATATCGCAGCAGTATGTAAGGGGAAACAAAGATGTGCCAAATGTGGAGGAGATCATCGATATGATGAATGTGGAGTGGATGTACAAATGAAATGCTGTAACTGTGGGGGTCAGCATAATGTGGCATATGGAGGTTGTGAGGCGAGGAAAAGGGCAGCAGAAATTCAACAGCTGAGAACAATTAAAAACATCACTTATGCAGAGGCAGCAAAAAGTGTTCAAGAGAAAAGAATGGTTCAGAAAAGTCAACAAGTAATGTCTAGCACAAGTGCTGACCCCAGCCAAACTTCAAAATCTGGAATGGAGATCACAATGGATAAATTAATATTATTCATGGCATATGTAATCAACTGTACTGATCAAGTAAAACAGAAAACAGAAAAAATTAAAATTATCGTGAAAGGTGCAGAAAAATTTTTGGCTGTGAAGGATTTATCTTGGGAACTAATAAATAAAAGGCTTGAAATGGATGGAAAGCAAGGTGGAGGAAAAACTCAATGATTATCTTACAATGGAATGCAAGAAGTCTAATAGCAAATGGTCAAGAATTGAAAGGATATATAAACTGTTTGGAAATTAAACCAGATATTATTTGTGTTCAGGAAACATGGCTTAGACCAGATCTAGATTTTGTGATTTCGGGATATGATAGCATTAGAAGGGATAGGGAGAAAGAAAGTGGAGGAGGCTGTATAATATTTGTTAAGCAAGGGATTCAGTATAGGTTTGTAGATAAAGGATCATCTTTAGAATGGGTATCTGTGGACATTTGGATTAATAAAGAAAATATTAGGATAATAAACTTTTATAATCCCTGTAAAAAACTGAGTTTAGATGAAATAGAAGAAATGTTTAAAAATCTAGGAAAAAGTCTAATCTGTTGTGGAGATTTTAATGCTTTTAGCACTGTATGGGGTCATAAAAATGATGAAAACGGAGAAGTGGTAGAACAAATAATGGATAAGAAACAATTGGTTTGTATTAATAATGGAGAAGGGACAAGAATTGATATTAGAAATGGAAATGAATCAGCGCTAGATCTAACTCTAGTATCAGCGAATTTTGCTGGGATTAGTAATTGGAAAGTTTTAAAAGAATCAACATTAGGAAGTGA